GCCTTAGAGGCAGGCTTTCAGGGAAATGGAAGAGCCTGCAGTTAAAAAAAAAAAAAAAAAAAAAAAAAAAAAAAAAAAAAAAAAAAAGCGGCCAAGTGTTGTTCTGTGGCTGAGCTGGGATGAGGTATGGGGGCAACCAGAGTGGGGGTGCGGCCAATGGAGGAAGGAAGCTGGGGTGGTGTGCCTGGTGCCTCAAGATCCTGAGCAAGTCACCAGCTCCCCAGGCTCCACTCATCTGTCAAGTGCGGCTGGAAGGAGAGGGCCTTGGGACATACAGGATAGGGAGGCAGGCTTACCTTATCTGGAAAGGCATCGAAGTTTGTGCGCACAGGATCACGGCTGCCAAACTTGGAGGACTTGAAGCGCCGAATGATGTCCTGAAGGGTGGCGGCAACCACAAAATACTCCTGCTTCAGCCGCAGCTCTTTCCCCTCAAAGAACTAGGATCAGCACAAGGCAGTGTGAAGTCCAGGCAGCAGGGACGGGTAAGGGGTGCAAAGTTGCTGTGGGTGTGGCCAGAAGAGACCCCACCTGCACTACACTCCTGGGCCTTAAACTGCCCCACCTCCAGGACCCACAGGTCTTTGCCTCACTAAGTAGAAGTAGCAGATGGAATCAGGGACTGGGACATACAAGGGCTGGGAGTCTTGTGAGGGTCCCGGCTCCTAGGAAATGTCTATCCTAACCCACCTCTCTCAGGACTCAGGGGTCTTCCTACTCAAAGGACTTAGGGTAGAGAAATGGGACACACAACACCAGCAATACAGTGTAACAATGGTAGAGGCAAAGGTGCCCTTAGCTCCCCTTTCCCTCTCCTAAGAATTTAGGCTTCCAGCCTCCAGGGCAACCCACATTATCATTGGGATACAGGACACGTGAGATGTTCTCAGCCAGGTTTCGGTCCAGCACAGCCTGGATGTAGCCACCGACGTTGACTGAGGAACAAAGTAGGGACAGGATCAGGCTGGGGTTGAGCATGGGTTGGGCCCTGCAGGAGTGGCTGTGGACTACCAGCATGGGAACTCACAGTCTTTGAGGTTGAAGTCATTGGGTGCCTTGGCCGACCAGAGGCGCATGGTGTTGACCACGTTATTGCGGTAGCCGGGCACAGGTGTGTCATAGGGCATGGCGAACACCACCTGGAAGGGGGCACCTGAGTCAGGAGCTGGACAGGATGTCAAAGGGCCAGCCCCGAGCATTGCCTGTGTCAGGCTTGTGGGGCCAAGCCCTCACCAAGGGCTGAAATGCAGGTCATTGCTGCATTCTGCCAGAGCCCAAGGCCCTCTAGGGCCAGTGCTGACCCTTACTAGCTAGGTACTCAGAAGCAAGATGCAGTAATCTCTCTGAACTTTGGCTATAAAAAAAGGAAATGCCAGGCCTGGTGGCACAGGCCTGGAATCCTAGCTACTCTAGAGTCTGAGGCAGGAGGATCATAAGTTAAAGGCCTACCTGGGCTACAGAATGAATTCAAGGCCAGTCTGAGCATGTTAGTGAGGCCCTGACTCAAAGTAAAAACTAAAGAGGGGGCTGAGGATATAGCTCAGTGGTAAAGCACTTGCCTGACAGATACAAGGACCTATGTTCAATTCCCAGCACTGTAAATAATAAATAAATTTCTCCCAACATCTCTGAAGATTATGGGAAGGGAAAGAGTGACAAGCTCAGAGTCCAAAGTGGGTCTCTGTTGGTGGCTGTTCTGAAGCTTGGCCTGAGCAAGTGAGAGGGCTCAGGAGAGGACTTGGGAACTCTGAGTTCAGGCTGAAGGGGCACGGAGGCCGTCTGTCCAGGGGTCTTATGTCTGGTTGACCACAGGGCTAATTAGTAGTGACCAATGTCAACCCCACCTCCCATTATCTATAAGCAGAGATATTGCTCCAAAGAATGGCCTACTAGCACGGTGCCTCTACGGGGTCTCATCCTCCTCCCTGATGTTAAGTAACATCTTTGATGAGCAGAGGGGAAGCACAGGTGAGAGACATAGTGACTAGTTCTAGGGCAGACACTAGATTGAGAGCCAGAGGGAGCCAGGTCTGCAGCCGTCCGGCCAGAGCTGTGTGTGCCAGGCTGCCATGAGCACCTAGCATGTGCAGCCAGCAGCCCTGACTGGGCCCAAGCCTAGATGACAAGAGCAACAAACACTACTTCTGAAAGCCCAGGGGTTTCCATATGGCCTGCTGGAGTGGAGACTGATGACCACAGCTGCAGCAGGGGGAATCACAGGATAGGGATCAGGATGCCCTGGTGGATTTTTGGACCCTTTGACTTGCTGTGTAACTACGAGCAAGTCAGTTACACCCAGAGGGCTCACTTTCTCCCATCTCCCTCTCGGCTGTTACCCAGCCTTCATCAGGTCCCCAGCTCAGATGTGTAGAGGCTACATCAGTCACTGTTGAGTCTTGTGTTGGAGAGAGGAATGGCCAGGGTAGAGTGCTGGTGGAGCAGGGACAGTGCTCTCTTCATTCTAGGGCTAGCACTTTGCTTGACCTCTTGGGTAATAACACTGACTCTAGTACCTCCTGGCTCTGGCTGTGTAAATCATTTGACCTCTCTGAGCTTCAGAGTCCTCAGTTTTAAAACAGCAGTGAGTTCCATAGTCTTCAGGCTCTTTCCCTGTTTCCTACTTCCTCTAAGAGCTTCCTACCCTTCTTCTCTCCTGCCCTTATACTGGGTCCCCCAGATCCCACACCCCTCTTCATCCTCACCTGTGTGTCCACCCACTTGGCACCCTGGCTGGTGTGCTCCACTCGACCGTAGAAGTGCACAGGCAGCATGAACTCAGGGCGGGCCTTCTCCCAAGGGTTGCCATACCGAAGCCAGTCGTCAGCCTCCTCCATCTAGCAGGTCAGGGGCAAGTAGACAGTGTAAACTCCAGGTACTTACTCATTGGGTGGTGGGCCAGAGCAATCAGCAGGGGCTGGAGCGGTGGCTCAGCAGTTCAGAGCATTGGCTGTTCTTGCAGGAGACCTGGGAGAGCTGAGTTCCCAGTACCTATATAGCAACTAACAACTGTCCCTAACTCCAGTTCCTGAGGAGCCAACGTCCTCTTCTGGCTCCCATGGGCCTTGCATGACATGGATGCACTTATATACATACAGGCAGAACACTCACACATACAATAAAAATAAATCAATCAAAAAAAGTTTTAAAAAGCAGGAGCCTGCTGTGCCCTATTCAGTGTCCTGGCCTGGGAGTCACCCAGCCAAGCTTGATGTGTCCCAGCAATCCCCAGGGGTGGACCACCCGTGCCAGGGAGCACTAGCTAGCTTACAGGAAAAGGGCAAGAAGCAAGGGTGCTTTTCTGGGGTACAGGGGCAGTTCTGAAGCAATACAGAGATGGACGACCAAATGAGGGGCCTCCCTGTGACTGCACCACACAAGGCAGGAGTCAGGGCTGCTCACCTGCCAGCCCCCACAGATCTTCTGATTAAAAATCCCAAATTCATAGCGGATCCCGTAGCCATAGGCAGCCAGTCCAAGTGTGGCCATAGAGTCTAGGAAGCAGGCTGGAAGTGCAGGGAAGTGGGTGTCAGGAAACCGGGCATGAAGCAACCCTCTGCCTTACCCTGCACAAGCCACGTATTCACCTGCCAGCCGGCCAAGACCCCCGTTGCCCAGCCCAGCATCCTCTTCAATCTCCTCCAGCTCCTCCATGTCTAGGCCCAGCTGGGGGAAAGGAGGCAGTGGTCAGGCCCAAGTGCCAGCACAGGAACCCCCAAACCCTACATACTCCCCCACCTGGTAGGTGGCCTCATCACAGGCGTTCTCCAAGGCCAGGTTCACCATGGTGTTCTGTAAGGTCCGTCCCATGTAGAACTCCAAAGACAGGTAGTAGATCCTCTGCCCAGAGAAAGACGGACGGAAAGGAGGAGGGGTCAGGGCCACCCACTGACGTTTAGCCAGGCCCAGCTGGGTCTGGACCTCTCCCCTGCCTGCATGGTTGCCAGGGCCCCCAGCATGTCTCATCTCTGTCACCAAATTTTTTTCTCCCCACTCAGAGGAGCCACCTCAGGTTTTAGGGTCCAACAGGTAAGAAAGGCCTTGGTCTCAGGGTTCTTGTAAAATGCCTTTGTATTGGGCCTCAGTTTCTCTTCCAAAGAATAAACCTAGCTAGGCCTACCTCAGAGACTGAGGTGCTTGGGAGAGGTGGGGACCTCGTCTGTGACACATACCCTCCCAACAGTCCATGGCCGGGGGGGTCAGGACATCAAGAAGCACCTCCAATTGCTCCCCAAGAGAGCAAAGACAAAGCCCAGAGAAAAAGTCCTTTGCTCAAGGTCACACAGTGACTCAGAGCTGGAACTGCCATCTCGCCCCTACAGAGCCCCCTTCACCCTCAAGCCTCAGTCAGGAGGAGGTGAACAGCAGGCATGGGGATGCTGAGGGTGCTCAGTCTCCCCATTTCCTGGGTCCTTCCCTGCCCATCCCCCACCCCTGTTGTGGGGTGTTAGGTTGCTGACATTTACCAATGACCCTACTAGATATCTGATCCCTGCCGCCCCAGCTGCCCCAGCCTTGCCCTGCCTGTGGCACAGGCATACCTCCCCCATGTACACATTTGATGACACGTCTGTCCACCCCAGGTCCAAACCAGGCCACAGGCAGCTATTTCTTGCCCACCAGCAGCTCCCTCCAACCTTGTCAGATGCACGTGGAAGCAGCCCATATATCCTGAACACCTCTGGGTCTCCCTCCCAGCACCCTTGGATTCTCCAACCCCAGGCCCTAAAACCTTTTATTTTGTTGTAGAAAACCTGGGCCCCAGGAAATGACTGCCATTTGCTTGAGATGTCCTAGCTCCCTGCCAATCCCCTTCCCCCCAGCTCATTTCCCATCCAGGATGCCCCCTCCCATTGCACCTTGGGGTCCTTCTCGTAATAGTGCTGCTGTGTGCGGATCCAGCGTCCCACGAGGTGGTCTCGCACAGTGTGGGCCAGTGCAAAGTAGTAATCTCTTGGGGTGGCCACATTGCGGTCCTTGACCAGGGTGAAATGCAGGTGGCGGTTGAAGTTCTTTTTCAGCTCAGCCACATTCTCCACACCAGCTAGGCCACGCACACTGATTTGCTTTCTCTTATCCTGGTCTGACAGGGGCCGGGACATGGCTGCAGAAGGGTGGGCTGGATTGATGGACGAATGGATGGACTGATGGCCTCAGTGCCTCCAGCCAAGGAGTGGAGCTGCCCAGCTGAAAGGGGATTTTAAAGCCTGGCTCTGGGCAGCATGCCCCGCCTCCCCAGCCATGGGAGGGTCTTGGCCAAGCAGCTCAGGAAGCTATTTTGGGGGCAAGAGGAGAGGAAAGGAGAGGCGGGAGGAACAGACTGCATGGCCCAGGCCAGGGCTTGTTCACAGCCTGTGCTGACCCACTTCCTCTGGGCCTCCAAAGCAAGGTGTCTGTCTTCTGGCCCCAGGCCCTTAGCTTTTGGAGAATTAGAGACAAGATACTTCAGGCAGAGCTGGGCTGATCTGGGGGGCCTGGGGCTTAACTGGAGCGTACTAGTAGAAACTTTGGCTAGGATTCTTCCGTCTGGACGCTTTCCCTGGACGATAGCTGAAGGGTAGAACTGGACTATGGGCTCTTCCTTCAGGCTTCCTTAGAGACCAAGGGGTGGTCACAGGGGCAGGTCTGGGGTGGCCCAGTTCCAGGGTCTAAATACCTCCTTTCCTTCAGGGCTTGCTTGTGACATTTGCCCAGAATATGCAAACCACAAGGCTGTTGGGTGCTAGTCAAGCTTGTCACAGCTACCCTCACTGTGATGAGGCATGGTTCATGGCTGCACCCAGATGGAGAGAGAGCGTGTGTGGCAAGAAGAACCATGAGCAGAGAATCAGTGTGCCCCAGAGAGGTGCAGCTAGCACAAAACATGCTGGGCAGCTGTGAGACGTGGATCCAAGGGTGTTGGGGGAGGATGCCTGGGGCAGAGAGTGGCTGCCTTCACCCCACCCCCACCAAAGCCCAGTGGCTCTGAGCTTCCCCCTGTTACTGTCCCTCAAGGGGCTCTGAAGTGACCTTTTCCAGAAAGATAGTCAGGTTACAGTCCAGCTTTGGCTGGGGCTCCAGACGGGAGAAGGGAACACTGGGAACTGTAGTCCTGTGAGTCTGCAGGGGTGGGTGAGGCAGTACCACCCACCTGAAGATACTGGATAATGAGCCTGGCTTGCTGTGAGCTAATTCCTAGGCCTGGAATCTAGCTACTAGGAAGCTGAGACAGTAGGATCACAAGTTCAAGTCTTGCTTGAGCTAGCGGGAGTTGAAGGCCATCTGGGCAACTTAATGAGATGGTCTCTCAAAATAAATGCACAAAGACCTGAGGTATAGCTCAGTGGCAGAGCACATGCCTAGTGTGTTCGAATTTTGAAGCTCTGGGTTCCACCCCCAGCATCATACCCACACCCACACCCCGATAATGGCACTGAGGTCTCCCCACGACTCACCTGCTAGGTAGGCAACTGAAGGCTTTCTCCCTCCTCCCACCTAGGCCGTACACTGGGCAGGGAGTTAGTGTTAGGTTCTCAGCTGTGACCTTCCAGAAGCCAGTTTTTGTTCATTTCCACCTGTGTTGCCTGGTACTTCAGGCCCTTCCTTCTAGGCTTTGGTTGTCCCCAATTCACTGTCCATGTCCTGGCCCAGCACAGTCTTGCTGTGTGGCCTTAGGCTGGTTGCTTTACCGTTCTGAATAAAAGCCCTGCCTCATGGCCACTGCATCCTGAATTTGTGGGGGGAACTTTAACTCCCGCTTCATCCTTTGAGGGAACAGAACCCAGGACTGGGGTATCTCAAAAGCTAGGTTGACCTCCAGGGTAGCATGCCAATTGAGGGAAAGAACTGGGTGTTCTACTCTGAGGGCCAAGGGTCAGAGGCATGGACAGCTACAGGATGCTGTTGAGCCTGGTGCTGAGATAGCCACACTGTTTCTGAGAACTGTCTGAGCAGCAATAGACAGGGAACTAACAAGCCACTCTCAGGTCTTCCCAAGCCAGGCTTTGGCTCGTCCCCTAGCCAGGGCACAGTGCCCTGCTCGTGCCATGGACCTAGGCTGTCCAGTGAAGCCAGGAAGAGAACACGGAGATGTTTAGACATAGTAGGAACACAGCATGGCCATCTTTTTGTTTTTATGTTTTCTAGTGCTATAGATGGAACCCTAAGGTTTCATGCATACTAGCTTGAAGCTACCACCAAGCTATACCCCCAGACCTTCCATTTGGAGTTTTTAAAAATTGTGTTTGTTGGTTTGCAAGACTCAGTGGGTAAAGGTGCTTGGTCACCAAGCCTGATCACCTGAGCTCCATCCCCAGGATCCACATTGTGGAAGAGGACTCCAGCAAGTTGTCCTTTGACCTCTAGAGAACAGCCATGGAATACACATGTCAACACACACAGAGGAAAACACAAAATTGAAATTAAATTTTTAATGAGCTAGGTATGGTGGTGCATGCACAGTACTCAGGAGCAGAAGCAGGTGAATCTGAGATCAAGGGCAGCCTGAGACTTTCTCAAAAAAACAATTAAAAACTTTTTTTATAGCCGGGTGTGGTGGCTATAAAAAAACAAAAGAGAAAACTATTTACTTGGTCTTTTTGAGACAGGGTCTTCCTGTAGCCCCAGCTGTCCTGGAACTATGTAGACCAGGCTAGCCTCAAACTCACAGAGATCCGCCTGCCTCTGCCTCCTAAGTGCTGGGACTACAGGTGTGCGCCACCACGCTCGGCTTTTTATTTTTACGTGTATGACTATATTGCATGTATGTGAGTGCACCTGTGTGTGCAATGCCACAGAAGTCAGAAGAGGGCTTCGGATTCCCCTGGAACTGGAGTTAAGGATGGTTCATAGCTGCCATGTGGGTGCTGGGAATCGAACCCAGGTCCTCTGCAAGTGCAGTCAGGGCTCTTAACTGCTAAGCCATCTCTCCAGCCCCCAAACAATTTTTTAAAATTATGATCGTGTATACGTGTAATGTGTCAGAGCACATGGCCAACTTCTTGGATTCAGTTCTCTCCATCCACTGTGGTTTCCAGGGCCTGTATTCAGCAGGCTTAGTAGTGAGCGCCTTTACCCAGAGAACAATCTCGTGCGGGTAATCACAGCTGCTGGGAGACCAAGGCTGACGCAGCCACGACGTATCCAGAAGACATCCTACTCCACCCTCCCACTCTTAGATTCGACTGCCTCTCCTGCCATGGTCCCTAAGCCTACAAGGGGTGACACAAACACCCCTTTTATGGGTAAGCACTCAGCTCACTTACTCTCTGCACTGCACTCTACAAAAAGAAGTTTCTGGGACTGAGATGGCCCAGCAGTTAAGAGCACTCACTGCTTTTCCCAAAGACTAGTTTCCAGAACCCTTGTTAGGAGGGCTCACAACCACCTGTATTCCAGCTCTAGGGACCTCAACCCCTTTCTGACCCCAAAGGAAACCCAGGTGGCGTACACTCACTCACACAAATAAAAATCTTTAGAATGGGGCTCAAGAGATGGCTCAGTGGCTAAGAGCACTGTCTGTTCTTGCAGAGGACCCAAGTTGTTCCCAAAATCCACATGATGGCCAACACCCAGTTATCAGTAACTCCAGTTCTAGAGGATTTGATGTCTTCTGGCCTCCATGGGCACTGCATGCACATGGTACACTTAAATACATGCAGGCAAAACACTCAAAATTTAAAATCTTAAAAAGCTTTTGAGCAAAGTTGACCTCAATATTAACCCATGGGAATGAACATTACTGAGGCCAATTCAGTGGGCACATCCCATTAATTTCACAAACAGCAGTAATTCCCCCACTAGGAACTATACACTCTTCACCAGGTTTATAGTATCAATGTGAACAACTTTCTGTGGACCAGGTCTCAATTTTACGTAATCAGACTTGCCCCTATAGCACCAGTGGGCATACTTTGCCTACATGGTCGATGGTGAAGGATGCACCTCATCTAAGACTAGTAACAGTGCTCCCCAAGCAGGCTGCATAGCACCTGCTGACATGAGTTTGCCTAGGGAGGCTCCCAGCCCAGTTCTGGCTTCTGTGGCTACAGCCTGTGATGTGTTCAGCCATAGGTCTGACCATCTAGTTCCAGTGAGGAACCAACAGCAGCGGCAACTACTCATTCTGGGGGAGGGGGGGGTCCCTTTTCTGTGTGTACATCTTAGGGCTGAGCCAGAGGTCAAGTGTCCTGTCTATCCCTGGAGACTCTCACTAAACCTGGAGTTAGGCTGATGATCAGCAAACCCCAGTATTCTTCCTGTCCCAGTCCCAACAGTTCTGGGGTTACAGGTGCACAGACCAACCATGCCAGTTTGATGTGGGATCTTGGGATTTGAATTCATCCTTGTGCAACAAGTCTCCCCAGCCCCCTACGTCCTTTAAAAATCTTTAGCCAGGCGTGGTGGCGCATGCCTTTAATGCCAGCACTCAGAAGGCAGAGGCAGGCGGATCTCTGTGTGCGTTCAAGGCCAGTCTGGTCCACATAGTGAGTTCCAGGACAGCTGGGGCTACAGGGAGACCCTGTCTAAAAAAAAAAACAATAACTACTACTTTTGGGGGGTAAGTGCATGCCACAGTGCATGTGTAGAGGGTTAGAGAACAACTTTTGGGAGTCGGTTCTCTCCTTCTACCACGTGGATCAATTCAGGTTGTCAGGCTTGGCTGCAAGCACTTCCACCCAAGCCGTCTTGCTGTCGCCTCCCCGCCTCCCCCCCTCCCCCTCAACCCCTTTACTGAGACTGGCCTCACAGCAGGAGCTACCACATCTTGCTTCTGTACATCCCAAATAAACAATGGTAGGCCAAGATAGACATGCCACCCCCAACAAAATTCAAAAGTACAATGGCAGCTCTGGTTCACCTTTTTATTTTGTGTGCGTGTGTGTATTGCCTGCATGTAGGTTAAGTGCACCTGTATCGAGCAATGCCCGTGAGGTCAGAAGAGGCTGTCAGATCCCCTGGGACTGGAGTTATGGATAGCTGTTAGTTACCATGTGGGTGCTGGGGTTTGAACCCACATCTTCTGCAAGAACAAACAGTGTTCCTGACTGCTGAGCCATTTCTCCAGGCTTTTTAACTTGAGACAGGATCTTATAAAACTCAGGCTAACCCTAGCCAGGCATGGTGATGCAAGCCTTTAATCCCAGCACTCGGGGAGCAGGCGGATCTCTGAGTTTGAGGCCAGCTGGTCCCCATAGCAAGTTCCAGGCCAGCTGGGGCTACAGGGAGCCCATCTCAAAAAGACCCAAAAACAAACAAAAAAACCCCAAAACTCAGGCTAGCCAAGGCAAGGATAGCCTTCAACTCCTGATCCTTCTTTCCCACCTAGGTGCTAGAATTATGGGTACATACCATCATGCTCAGCCTAGTCTTACAGATCATTCAACTCTGAGGTTTGGGCAGTAGGGGTTGTGAATCCAGGCCCTTGGAGATTCTAGGCAAAGAAGTCTTTTTAGTGCGTGTGCATCTTAGTGTTGTGTGTGGGTGTTCATGGAAGCTGGAGGACAACTGGCAACCTCAGGAATGCAGCTTATCGCCTTTCGAACAGGTCCTTATCGGCCTGGAACTTACCAATTAAGCTAGACTGTTTTGTAAGGATCTTCCTATCTCCTACCTCCCCATAACTTGGCATTTTTCCATGGGTTCTAGAAATCACACTCAGGCCCTGGTGCTGGTAAGCACTTTAACACTGAGCCACACTCTATCTCCACACTACTCTTTCATCTCCAGCCTCTGCTTCTGGGGCACCTCACCCTCTACCTGCATCTGGGGTAGTCCTGGTCTGCACTGTGCCTTCAAGGGTTACAGTGGGCAGAGCTCAGATTTCTTGTCGCCCATCAACAGCAACATGACTGAGCCACGAACCTGTGTCTTACTTCCAAGACAGCGCCGAGTTCTGTTGCTAAACATTTGATCCCAATCTTACCCAACTTTCTCCAGCACAAGTCCTCAGACCTGTCTCTCGCTTTGTTACCACCTCAGCACTAACCCTCTTCTAATCCAGGCACTAGCCCAACTGTCTGGGAAACTTCCCTTTTCAGTCCAACCTGCAGCCCAAGGTCTGCACATCCCAAGACTGCTGTTGACTACACTCACATTCGCAGACAAGATACACCAAAAGCTGAACACCTTTGCAAGTCTAGGAAGCTACATGGTTAGGTGACCCCTGGGGTCAGCATGGCAGGGCCCCTTCCTTTATTCCGATACTGTAGCCCAGAGGACCCAGAAGCTCAAACACACCTGTTTCTGTCTCTTCCACCCTTCCTCACCCCCCCACCCTCCAGTGGCAGGGGTGCAGGTTTACTTCCATGAACCCTGAAAGCACACTTCCCAACCTGAACTAACTTAAGAATGTTTACATCATCTGACCAAGTTTCTAACCAGAAACCTGGCCTCCCTGCCTGAACCAATGCTGGGTTTTCCGCAGAGCACTTGGCTGACGCTCAGGACTAAACAGAGACCTCAAGCTGACCTTTCCCACCTGGATATCCACTGCCGGCTTTGAGGAAGTGGGCATACTGCTCCTACAATGGAAACTAGTACAAAGGTCTTGTCACAATAGAACTGAAGACTTTGCCTAAGGTAGCATAAACCAGTGGATGTTTCCACCTCCCCACATCCCCAATACCACCATGCAGGAGCTCGATGCAGCTGGGCCTCCACAGTGGGGAAGACCCTAGGCTGATGCCTTCTCAGTCACTCTCTCCAAAGTCTTAACAAAGGCTGTCAGCAGAGCAAGGGAGGAAGGGAGCCACAGGAGTGAGCTGGCCCCAGGGGGGGGTAGACAGAGGAGATAGCTGGGCTGTGGTTAAGTCATTTATTGATTTTATTTCTAAAACCCACATAGCGCCACTTTGCAGCTTCCAGAGCTTCAAAGAGCTAATTAACCGCCCAGTGAGCCCACCAGGGAAACCAAGACTGTGGGGGAAGCAATGAGGTGAAGCCAAGGTCGAAGAGGGTAGCCAGGCCTGCCCCGTGCTGCAAGGTAAGGACAAAGGGAAAAGCCTTTAGTTCAGGGCTTGGTTAGGAGACAAGGTTTCTGAGGATGGGCCATAGCACAATGCAGGCAGGCTGCTGGCCAGAAGAGGCAAACAGGGTAGCTCTGCCTAGCAACAGCATCCAAGGACTTGGATGTCTGACAAAGGCGTAAGGTGAAATTTTTCTGGTACTACATGGGTACTATCTATCCTCTGCCCAAGATATGAAAATGCACAAAGATCCTTCCCAAGGAGCTGCTCACAAAGCACAAGGACGCCATGTCTCCCCGCCCTCCCCAAAGCCTGCAATGCTGGCAGGCTCTAAGTCACCAGCAGAGAAAGGAAAAAAGCCACTTGGCAGTTTTAATTTTAGCAGTTCTGTGCCTGACAGGCAGGATTAGTTGGCTTGACCTTTTGTGCTGATGCCTCCCCAGGCCCAGGTCCTTAGTCAGGTGGCAGCAAGTGGGCACAAATCACAAGTGGAGCTCATAAAATGTGGGGGCTCTAAGTCTCAAGAAAAAGATTTCAAAAGGACAGAGACCAGAAATATGGGGTGAGGCTGGCTCTCAGCTAATGAACTGGAAAGGGGGAGCAGGAGGGCCTGGAGCCACACCCATACAGTGAGACGGGTAGAAGAAATTAATGTCCCAGCTTGGCTCCAGGAAAAGGGGAGCTGGGGCAACTTTGGTGCTGCTATGGGTACAGGGGAGTTAAAAGAAAAGGAGACCCAGAAAACCACACTGCTCTTTTATTCAATGGAATATCCCCCCCTTTAGTGCAGTGTTGAATCAAACACCGAAAAAAAGCCCAGAGAAATTTCTGTAGATAAACCAGTGAAGAGAACGCGCATTACACATCATTGTCAACATAATCACTCCATGAAGAGGGAAGGGGCAAAGAAGCAGAACAAAGAACAAGGGGCTCGAAGCCCTGAGACACTGCAAACAGCCGGACATCTGGGGTTAAAATAAAACAGAAAGGGAAGCTTTCCAGAAAGGAGGGAGCAAATGGCACCCGAGGCAGCCTAGGTGGGCAGGACTGTGGAAAGGCCTCTAGGCCGGCAGGTAGGCCTATGGTGGCTCGGGCTCTGCTGCCTACTGCTGGCAGGAGAGAAGATGTGGATCCCAGGGCTGATTAATCCAACCTGGCAATGTCACAAATCTCAAGACTCTTGAAAGAGGTGGCAAAGATGAACCCCACACTTAACATATGCCATCTTTGGGAGTGGTTGTGAACCAAAGGGCCCCCTCCCCAGCCTGACGTTCATGGCTGAAGCCTGTGCCTAAAACCATTTGCTCCCTTCTCCTTGGAAGGAGGAGGAATGGAGACAAGGGAAGGGTTCTATCTGCAGCAGAGACCGGGGAGAGCATCTCCTTGGACAGAGTCTGAAGAAAGGAAGAGATAAGGAGATAACAAAGGAAAAAGATAAAAATTAATAAAAATTTCACGATATGGAGCCAGCGTGTTCCGATTCCGTCCACAAAAATAACTCAGGCTGCTTTGCCGAACCATCCTGTCCACCAGGGGCGCTGCTGAGGCTGTCTGCCTGGAAGGGTCACCAATGGGCGCGGTAAGTCCTCACTCTCATGGCTCGGGCCATCGCCGCCGCGGGGAGGGATCCTGGCGGCCCGGTTTGGGGAAAGGCAAAGGGAGTTGGGTGAGGAGAGAAGAAGACAAGAAGACACTCGATGCTACAGGGCGCCAGGAGAGCCCAAGCTGGCGCCCTACTACCAACTGCCCATTCCCAAGCGAGTCCGCAGTCACTTGGCCCAGCCCGGTGCGTGCACACACACACATGCGTGCACACACAATCACATGCGTGCATCCCAATGTCTGGCTCCATATGGTGAGGTTCGGCGTGTTTAAACGAGACCAATTCTCTCTCTATATAATATATATTTTCTTAAAAAAAAAAACGAGTCTAGTTCTGTGGTGGAGGCGGTGGGGGAGCTGGAGGCATCCCGAAGGGCGGCATGCCCGCCACCCCCATGCCCATCATGGTGACAAAGTTAGAAGGGTCCATGGGAGGCGGAGGAGGAGGGGGCGGGGCATACATCATGCCGGCGGAACCAGGTGGCGGAGGCGGTGGAGGGGGAGGGGCCCCGGGCGGCAGAGGCGGCTGGACCCCGGGGGGCAGGGGCACCATAGTGGGGTTGCCTTGCATCTGAGGGGCTCCTGGAGAAGCTGCGGCAGCCGCCTGCTGCTGTTGCCATGGCGGGATGGACCCTGTGCCAGCGCTCGTGGTGGTGGTCGTCGTATCTGGGGTGGTAAAGAAGCCCAAGGTCACACGCGCGGGGGGCACACCGCGGCTCTCTGCGGCTGCTGCCTTGGGTTGGGGGGACGAGGGCGCCTGCTCCTTGCTTGGCATGCGGTACGGTGGTGGGGGGCAGGCGGGCGGGGCTATCCTGGTGATGGGAGTGGAGGGGTGGGCAGGACTACCCTGGGGTCAGCCTCATGGTCTCTGGGCTTAACAAAGTAAGCCCTTTGTCACCAATGCCCCTGGAGGGGCTTAGGGGAAAGTACCAGACACAAGAACCGGCTCAGAAGTCCCTCCGCCCAGCCGCCGCCACCACCGAACGGCACATTCAACCTCAAGGCCACAGCTGCTCTCCCCACTGAACCACCCCCACCTCTGCAGTCTCTCAGGCCAATCACAGCCCCCTCCAGAACATGCATGCACCATCCCACTAGGCCTGAGCACATGACAGGTGAACCAGCAGCTCACTCCACAGCGGAGGCTGGATTTCTGACAATCTATCTACTGTAGCAGGCTCCCCCTCCAGACCTCCCAAATCTCTCCCAAACACAACCACACCAAACATCAGCTCTCCTCCCCAAGACATCCCCTTGGGCCAGGCAGCCCAGTTTTCAACCCCCTGCCCCTGCTGAGACCAGTCTCACCCCAAAGTGTCTCCAGCTCAGGTGAGCTGTGAGGTTCTTGTTCCTCTCAGCCCCAACCCACATACCACCCACCCCCACAAGCCCAAAATATGCCACTCACTTTGCTGCCATGGCAAGGGGGTACTGGAAGCCATACTGCTGCTGGGCGGAGGGGGTGGCGGAGGTTGCTGCTGCTGCTGCTGCCATGGAGGAAGAGGACCAGAGGGAGGAGGCGGGGGCTGCCCACTGGGAGGCGGCGGCGGTGGCGGCATCATGCCCATAGGTGGCGGCGGCATCATACCTACAAGTAGACAGGAGAATGAGGTCTTCAGAGAAGTAGACGCTGGAGGCTAAAGACCCCACTCGCTACCTCATTCCCCGGCCAAGGAGGAGACCCCCAGTGAGTATTGTTACCTTTTCCTTGATGCAGGCGATAGACCCCAGAGCCCACAGGCGTACTTCCCAGGTACTGATCTTGATGGAAGGAAAGAGCAGGGACTTAGCAGGACATTTGAACTGGCCAGGCAAGACATCCCTCAACAGGTTTCTCACAAAGCCTTTTGGGTTATTATCCTTCTAAAAACCCTGCTACAACAGGCAGGCCGCCCCCTCACAGAAAGCATGCCTTGAACCCAGGCCTCAGCAATACCCAGTACACTGGGCTAGCCAGTCAGCACCGTTGACAGCTCACAGCCACCTGGTGAAAGCCTATTTGTCCCAAAGCCCCAAGGTTTCTGGTCTGACACTTACTTACCCATTGGAGGAGGGCCATGGTGCCCAGGTGGGTGGGGGCCCTGATTCATCGGTGGTGGTGGTGGCTGCATCCAAGGAGGTGGGGGCCCGTTTGGGTTGTGCTGCATGGGATGTCCACCATGCCCACCTGTCAGGCTGGGCAATGGGTGTGGGAAGCTGTGGGGACCACCTCCAGGCCCACCAGGACCACCTCCGTGCATGCCATGGTATGGCCGATTCTCTGAAGGACCAGAATTCATCCAGGGTGGGCGGCTCTGAGTTGTAGACATGAGAGACTATGTGAGAGCACTCCTGCTACTGCCCATGCCTGCTCCCCCTGGTGGCAACATTGTTCTTCTGGCTGTCGGAGGACCAGAACACAAGGATCCTCCCAATGTGACACCCCGTGCTGGGCAGACACTCCAGAAGAACAATGTTGCCATCTACCACTCCACATGCCTTAGCTCCTAGTCTCTGCAGGAGAACCGGGAGCTAGAAGAGAACCAACCCCAAGGCTCACCGGTGGTGGTGGGTTGTTGGCAGGAGCAGCAGGCCGAGGTGCACTGGCCAGGGGTGTGGTGGCAGGCCCAGACGTGGAGCCCACAGATGCAGGGACAGGTGCTTCCCCTAGCTCAGCCATAAGGGACAAATATTCTTTATCCATCCGTGCTTTATCCTGAGCTGACTGAGGGTCGCCAGGCCTAAGGTAGAGTGAACAGAAAAGGAGAAAAACTGAAGGAGGGAGCTTTAACTATGAGGAACTCACAGTCTGAAGAGTTAGTGCAGTATGACTTCTAACCTCTTACTGGGAAAACCAGGGCCAGCCACAGCAGGTCCTGCCTGGGCAAGGGGCTCCAGTGACCAACTACTGTGAGGGGCATGTGCCTCTCATATTCACCCACTCTCCTTTCATTAAATACTCTCTCTCTTCCCAGTCTGACAGAAGGGAAATTATGCAAGACTAGAGAAACTGCTCCCCAAAAGCCTCATTATAGAACTTTATGGAAATGAAACTGGTCAAGTCCTTAGGTGTTTTGACCAAATTCTAAGCAGTGAGGTCAATGAATATTGAACCCCAGTAAGAACATTTATATAGGCAGAATGCAAATTTCTATAGAGACAAAACAGGAGGGCTCCATACTACTTCCAATCTTAACTCGGACCACCTCTGGCTACATCCACAAAACATATCCCTGGTGTCCTGAACACCAGTGGGTTGCCAGGGAGCCACTACAACATCCAACCCTCACCTCTGGAACTTGCAATCGGAGGCAATGTGGCCAGCTCCTCCACACTTGGTACACACTGTGGTATTGGTAATGCTGCGGGTCTCTGAGCTCTGCCAGGGTCTTAAGATCCTGTTGAAGGGGAGAAAACAAATTCAAAGACTTGTAGACCATCTCTCCACGTGCAGAAGTTCTTCTGGCTTCTATGTGATCCCTCCTCAATAGATCAGTACCTGTTATCATCTTCCCGCAGGGTGCCATTCAAGCGAGCCAACTCTCGCAGCTGCATCTTCCGAAGGTCGTTCTGGTCCTCTGGGGTCTCAATACCCTGCTTCAGGATGTTTCTGATCTAGTAAGACATACCCACACCACCAGGGGCAGTTAGTTGAGACAGTGCCTGGGTCATCATCTAGGTTTCCAGCAAGAGGCTTCCTTCCAGCCCCTGGCTCACCTGTTCCACTGCCTTTTTGACATTCTCCATTGTATTTGCAGTGACTAGAGCATGAAGAGGTTCATCTTCCCCTGGCAACATCTGGCCATCTTTGCGCCCAACCTTCCCTTCTTTCACAGACCCTTTCCCCCGAATCATGATCTTGGCATTGCATTCCTTCTCGATATTCTTCAGGGTGTTCCCTCTATGGAAGGCAGAAAGGATTGTTTATATAGCCTATGTAAGTTTGTATTCCATAGCTGGGAAAAGAGCCTGGGTGGAGTAGGCATTGGTGGGAAACTGCTAATGCAGTGCATTAGATTTCCCAATCAAGGACTCTGGGTCCTCTACATAGGGTCAGCCACCACTAATCTCTGGATTTGACCTCTCTTCAGAAAAAAGGGGAGCATCAGTAGGTTTCTCAGAGAAAACAAATGTCTTACCAAACAAACCAACCAAAAACTGAAGTCATAAAGGTAACAACGTGGCTGCCAGAGGCTCATGTTTACTCACCTGGGCCCAATGAGCAGCCCCACAAAGTTGATTTCTGGATATTCATCTTGGGGGATCATTACTTTATCGCTCACACGTGTTGCTGGAGGCCTAAGAAGAAAAGACAATCACCACCCCTGTATTCATGGGAGATGATGGAGACAACTATCACTGACGCCACATGTTAATTATGGCTGACTAGGGCAAAAGATGAGTAGTTCAACACAACTGTCCCAGACACTACATATGATCAGCATGTATCCTTGTTTCTGACAACCCCCTGCTTACTTGTAATCTGCAGGTGGCTTAAAATCAGGGTTGAGGGCAACCATCTCGGTGATGAGGTTATGTCGTTCCTCTTCGAGCTTTTTGCGGGTGCGGAACTCCCGGGTGTTAAGCCGCTTCCCCTCACTGTTGTAGATTGGCTCAGGGGAAGGGGACCTGTGGGAGACAGACCCCCATTACTGCTCTGACCCCCCACTTCTCTGGTACCCACATGGACTATAACAAGTCTCCCCTGCCCCTCTGCCTCTCAGACCCTAACACTCTTCGGAGGAACCGACCATAACGTGTGCTATTCAAGACTGTGTGGAATGGGGAGATGGAGGCTGGCTTAACGTTAGGGAACGAGTATACAGGAAATGGAAAAAATACTTTTGCTTCTAAGAGTGATAAGAGGGGGCAATCTTTGGGCTCCAAGTGGCAAGGACAGTGTCATCCTCTGGAGTCTTCTTGCCAAGTATGACTTTCATTTGAAAAAACTGACAATAACCCGACCTGAAGAACCACAGAACCCAAGTTTAGGTGACTATGCCTATCAGGAAGAGCACCTGTACCCCTGCCACAGTGAACACAAGCTCGTTCACCCAAAGCAGCTGGGACTCAAGCTACTGCAGCTACTTGGCCCCCACAATGGAGAATGGTGCAAGGCTTCGTCTCTGCTTCTCCTGCAATGGCCTGGCTGGCTGTGTCCAAGGCACAGGAGACAACCTGTTTCTGGCTGTTCAAGGTGGGCAGTCTGGGTAGAGAAAGCTGTTAAAGAGCTTAAAGCAGCTTCTGCTAGAGGCTGCACATGCAGATTTCCTCAAATACTTATCTAGGGTCTGAACCTGCCAACAGCAAGGGGGAAGCCTATGAGTCTCCGCCAGAGCTTACAAGTCCAGAAAGCAGTTATTTCTCTCTCATTTTTAAGGAGTAAAATGCTGATGCTACAAGCAAAAAAATAATAAATAAACAAAAATATATATATATAAAATGGTCAGTTTACCACAGCTATATCTTGCGGTAATAAAAAAAGAGAAGTTACACCCCTAGAATTCTGAGTTAAGATTACAAAAAGGACCATAACTTGATACTCTGTATGAAAATTTAGTAGCAGCTGCGAGAACAGAAGAGACCATGTGGATCAGGTTATTTTTAAAAACATCCTGAAAAGTAGTCCAGACTCCTACACCCTTGGTTTAGTTGCGAGAACTTTGCCTAGTCGGAGAGCAAGGACTGAACTCGGCTGCTCCCACTGTCTTCAGCCTAAAGGGAACCATGTCATACCAGGTTACACACGATGGAATAAAAGGTCAGGTTTGTTCATGGCTAATGACGGCTAAATGACACCTCCGTTTCTAGCATCTGTATAAACTGTTAGCACAATCCAGTCACATTGAACACAAGCAAATGCACCCCAGCTCATTAGACTATCATCTTACGCATTTAAGCCTACAACAGATTTTAAAACATTTTTAACTCAAGTTAAGCAACATCAAAATAGCATATAAAGTGGCTTAATTTTGAGATACACCTTCTTAGGAAATAATCTTATTAAGGTAAGAAATCATGTATTTCCCTCCAACGTGGGCTTAAAAGCAAAACCAATTAGGCATTAGGGCCTCTTTCAAAACTGAATACAGGGAGGAAAAACTCTGCTCTGGTTTTATTTCTAACATGCTTGATATTTCTAATGTCCACCCCCATAGCTACCTAGAATTCAGTGTTTCTGGCTGATCACCAAGTTGTACCAGTACCAAATGGGCCTTTTAAAGGCTTCACAACCGTTTAACCTCTTCCCAAACTGTGGAAGTGAAAGGCAAAGCTAATCATCTAGAGGTTAGACTGGCCGGACTTCTTCACCTAGAAGAGGCATCAGAGAAATCAACTAAACTCTAATCCCGTTTTCCAGGAAGCAAAGAAGGTTTGTTAAAAACTCAACCTTTGGAGGAATTGCCTGGTAACCTGTAGACATACCATTAAGGGGGGAAAGGCCAAAAAGGCACATAAACAGTTGTGGTCTTTAACCTACAATGTAAATCTTGAAAAAAAACAAAAACAAAAAACAAAAAACTTACAAAATAAAAACAGAAATATAAAACAGTGCAAGTTTCCAACGAAAATCTACAGGTAAAAAAATATCAAACTTGCTAAACAAAATTAAATCAATATGGAGAAATCAATGAGTTCATTTGTTTCCTGGCAAAGGACAACAGAAAGTTGCCTGTGTGACCTCTAAAGACATTACCAGGGCAACAAAAGCCAGAAACACGTTTGAAAGCACTTTTCAACTATGCTGCATGCACTAGGAGGCATTTCCGTGGAAGCGTATTATCTTCCTGTTAAATGATCAGATGTTAGCTGTTCAAAGATCAGCCAATAAAGTTCCATTTGAAAAGTCCCCTCTCACATAAACTTTAACTTTTCAGAGGTGAGAGAAACTAAACTGAAATGGCATGACCACAGCTGTTTGAGGCCCACATTCCCTTAAAAAAGAAAAAAGCAATTTAGGGGTTGGTTGCTTGCCTTCCCCAACAGGTGAGATAATATCCTGGCCCCTCCCCAAACCCACAGGCAATAGCCAAGGCTGAAAATTAATTGGCAGTGAAGGAAATTGGTTAGAAACCTGATTTTAAGACACTCTCAAAACCATGAGCAGGTTAAGACTTCAACAATGAGCTGGCCAGCTTGGGGCCGCTCAGATTCAGTGATGGTGAAAATATTCTCAATCCCTGCAATCCCTGAATCATATGCCCATGAGAAAAATGTCCCCTGGGCTTTCAGCCAAAGCAGCCACTGAAAAGGCAGGTTTAATGGCCACCTCTCACTGTCCCTAGGGGTGGGTAAATCAGGTTAAAATCTATACGCTTACCAATTGGAAACCAGTTGTTCATTTTCCTTTAACTTTTTATTCTGCCAGTAAGCTTCATTCAAAATTTTCTAACTGTTGACTGACCACACATACTGCTAATTAATCCTGATCACAGTACCAGTCGTCTTAACTAGGATTTTATTGAACTGACACATTATGTTGCCACCAGTAAAATGTATTGAGAAAAAGGTAAAAGCGTTACTGTCAGCTGGTTAAAACTGTTTCCCAACCTGTCCTCAGGGTTAGGGGGGATGCCCAGGTCTCCTGTGCGCAGTTTACGAGTCAGGTCTTCTATCTGCAGTTGCACTGGAAGAAACCAGGTTAGGAAAGAAAAAAAGGATGGAAAAAAGACAATGTTACCAAAAAACATCTCAAATCTCAATAACAAGCATGAAGAACTCGGAGACTTTGAGGCAAAACCCCCAACCACCTATTGGCAGGAATCCATTTACATCTATAGTTAATTTTCATTTCAAAATGGTTATCACTTAAGGAAGCAAACAGTTTGTTGAGGGGTTAGCAGTTGAGGCTGTTCACTACAGCTAACATCAGAGTCATTATCAGGAGGCATTCGCCTCTCCTTCCCCCACCACGCTTGCTTATAATTGGCACCCTGAACCAACACCACTTATGATATCACCAGCACCTGGATCCCACCAAACTCAAGGCAAGGCTTGAGAGTTTATATTTCTTCATTAAATAGTAAACGTAGCCCAAAACTTCAGTTATCAAGGGACAAAGAAAATATCAGTTGAGCAAAGATCATTTTCATTAAAACCAAGTTTAAAACTCCTTCAACAAAACATTTAATAAGCAATTCAACACCTTACAATCATCTCTACATACACTTTCTGTACAACCAGACCTGTACTAGAAGAGTCTCCCAATACCTGCAGCTTTTTAAAAATATTAGTTAACAAACCATGTACCTTCCTTCGTAAACCCATAGGCAGAAGTAAGGTGCTAGTTTATTTAGACCCGCTATTGATGTGGAGTGTTAGGTGTGCAGAAAATGGAAAAGGAGTCAAGGAGAATGCATGTGGTGGCCTTGAGGTCTTGGTCTGACACTGTGAGAAAGATGCTTTCCTGAAAATCTACCAGTTAGCGTGGAGTAACTGTAGCAGTAACAGCACTGAACACTCAAGAGGTTCTCCTCACCCTGCTTCCACACCTCAACCTGTTCCACACCTTAAGGGGGTCCAGGCTTCTGGGCAGTTAGGGCAGGTCTTACTAGTTTGGGTTAAAAAAGCGAATGCTTATGACTCCAGATATTATTCTAATTTTCAGTATGTCTCACAGTGTCAACTACATCACCTCATTGTGACCCCTGAAGAAATGGAAAAATCCTTTAAGCTCTTTTACTCCAGCCAAGTTCTGGCTCTGTAGTCAGGCATTAAGTTCAACAACTTCAGGTGAAGGTCACTTCCATAGGGCAGTCCTTTTAAGTGAACTGTGAGACCTAGTCTGAATCAACAGTTAGCAATGGAAAATTAGACAAGGCTATCTCCCATGGAACAAAGACCTACATCAGCCTCTACTTTGTGTCTAACTACCTTGATGAAAGCAGTGGATAGTCTTTGAGGCTTAGTGCATTAACTAGGTCTCCGCAGGGAGAAAGGGAGTGGTAATGTATTAAGTTTGTTTCCCAGATTTTGTGTTCTTGGGATGTGACTCCACTAGGGGCATTTCACAAGGCATTCCAACACTGGTCTAACAATACCTACAGGTGGGTGAGAGTAAACAGAACAGTGAGGAAGAAGCAGTATTAGTCATACTGAGAAAAGTAGACAATTCCAACGCCTCAAAATTCTCAGCAATCTAAAAACCAGGAAATCAAAACCCTCCAGCCCATGTTGGCCTTGAAGCTTTGTTTGTCAAGGCCACAGCCTCGTGGGCCCACTAGGTCTTCTGCCCCAAAGAGGATGTTTATTTGGTTAGTAGAGGTTTATCAAGTGCACTGTTTTGAGACAGCTGGACAGACATACAAACTTGCATCAAGGACTTTTTTTTTTTTTTTTTTTAAAGTAATTCTGAGATTAATTTCAATTCCACTGTGGACAGTTAATTTTTGAAATCCTCCACCAGGTAAGATCTTTTTACTACCACCACCTCATCTCATACCAAGCAGTAAACCCTTCCCAGCAGTTCTTTAGCGGTAACTACAAGAGCCTTCATCTTAAGACAGCTCTCCAAAGACCAAACAAGAAGAGATGCTGAAGGGAAGGATTAAATTCAACAAAATGGTACAAAAAAAAAAAAAAAAAAAAAAAAAGAGAGAAAAGGGTAAACTGTAATATTTTCAGAGCCACTTGTTTAAACTGTTTTGTACCTATAAAAAGTAAAACCACATTGTAGGGAAAGTGAACGATGTGACATTATGGTGAAAGGCCATGCTGTGAAAAAAGCACCTGGTTTACAATACCTGTAGTGCTCTCCACTGGGGCCTGTCCAGAGAGGCAGAGGCACTGCCCCCACCAACGGGCCATGAACAGCAGCTGAAAAGTGGCTGCTCAACTAGGGACTATCACTGCTAGTGGGTCCCACTACCTTCCTGGCATTTGTGGAGAACACTGCTGTTACAAGCAGATCAAAACAAGAAGCTAACAAATCCAGGACTGGCTAAGTAAAACCAGACAATTATGCCAATGTCAGCAAAGTATACCTGATTGGATCTTGTTCTCAAGAAAACTATAATTTCAAACATCCAAATACTTGTCGTTCAGAATAAACAGTAACAGTGTGATGATGATGATGCACTTGATGCAGAACGTGTATTTACCTATATAAGCTCTTTCCTGTTCCCGAGTAAGTCCGGGGGGAATAACAGTAGGCATTCCTGGAATCACTGTCTTCTGTTCCATGGTGTCTTGGTTCCAGCGGCTCCTCTTCCGCTTTTTACTGGGGAAGTCTAGAGACAGACAGAGTCCATCAGTGCAGTTATAAACCAGCAGAGTGACCACCAACAAGCAGCTCAGAATAATTAAGATATTACACAGATCCTCAGCAGACTGAAACAGAAATTCACCAAAAATTCAAATGGGAAATAGAAGACAAACCTCAGAGGTCAAAGAGGGAGCAGTCCCAGTAAAGGAACCTGGTCTCCCTTTAGGGAAGTTAGCATTTCATTTACATTTGCTTTTCCTAGAGGAGCTCTTAGAACACTTAACACAGTAAATTGTGTTTTTCTTTTGTGCTGTTGGGAGTTGCACATGCTAACTAACGAAGGGCTCTACCACTGAACCACAGGACCAGCCAGCCACCAGGGAAATTTTAAAACCCAGAGGCCCAGAAGAAAAGTGCCAAGGAAAAGCTGAGTGTGGTGGCACAGGCCTTTAATCCCAGCACTCGAGAGGCAGAGGCAAGTGGATCTAAGTTCAAGGCCACCCTGGTCTACACAGTGAGTTCCAGACCAGCTAAGGCTACAAGCAAGACTCTGTCTCAAAAAGACCAAAAAAAAAGTGGCAAGGAGACACATACATTATCCCTGAATCTACAGAGCAGTGGGAGGCCAGCTCCAACCCCCTCCCCAGCCATCTTTCTGTAGGAGAACCCAGTCAAACCCACTGCTACACATGACTAAGAGAAACAGCTGATCCTTCAGTTGTTCAGAACACACGGAATTCTTTTTCTGTATTTCTCTGTATGTACCATGCAAAGTTTTCTACTTAATGGGTTACAGGCCCAGAAGGAAAGTCTCTTTTTAACAGCAAGCGAGAAGCTGGTCTGCCTGAGAACCTTCTACAAAACAAAGGGAGATTAACAGCCTTAAAGATGTGACCCCATCATTAGGAGCCTTCCGATCTCCCTTACTGGAAGAGGAGGAACCAGTCATGAGACTTGTCTCCTTTTCAGTTCCAACACACAACAAGGGAGACTCCACGCCGCTGCGCGTGCATCTATTTGCATCCTCTTGCCCTCCACACCCAGAACCCTCTCCCTCGCTTGACACCTTCCATCCCAGTCCCCCACGCCAGCGGTCCAGGGGACAGGGGGACAACAGGTGACCTCTCTAGGCTATCAAAATTGCGCCACAAAGTCAGAACGCCTCACTGCGTCTGCGCACTGCTCCTTCTCTCCCGCCCTGCTTCCTCGCACCACGCGCGTGCGCAATCGAGGCCGCCCCAACCAGGGGCCGCGCGCACCCCGGGGCGCCTCCGCACGGGCCTCCCGTGCACGCGCACGCGCGTCCCTGCCGCGTGCAGCCGCCGTCGCCACCGCAGCGCGCCCCTCCGCCGGCCGGGTTCGTCCGCGCGACGCTTCTCGTGTTCCAGCGGCCCGACTCTCCCCCTCCGCGGAGAGCCGCGCCCGGCGGCTGGTCCGGACCCAGTGGGAACCGGGAGCCCAAGGACCGCGGCGGCCCAGCGGAAGGCCGTGGCCGGGACCCCCAGAGGCCCAGCAGACGGCGGCGGCGGCCCCGCCCCAGGCGCAGGCCACGATTCGCAGCCCCCGTCAGGCCCGGGAAGTGGGCACAGACCTGTGGGACCCAGCTTACCCAGCGGCGTGGCGTTCGCTCCGGTCGCCATGGCGCCCCAGGGGACCGGCAGCAGCGGTTCCTCCTCGGCGGCGACGGCTTCTCCTTCGCGAACCTTCCTGGGGGGAGGGGACCCGACGATGCAGCTGAGGAGCGCGGACAGCCCGTCCTCTCACGCGGCGGGCGGCGGCGGCGCGAGACGCACAAAGAGGGTGGAGAGAGGACGCCGCGGGGGCGGGCTGGGGGCGGAGGGGCCGCGGCCGCGATTGGGCTGCGCCAGGGCGAGGGTCGGGGCGGGCGGCCTGCGATTGGTAGAGCGCCGGGCCTCCCCGACGTGTGCCGGGATTGGCTGAACCGTTAGGCCCGGGCGAGGAAATGGCGGCGAGGCCGGCCAAGCTAGGAGGTGTCGCAGCGCGCACTGCGTTGGCTCCTGCGAGGCCTGAGCTCAGAGGCCGAAGGGGCGGGGCGGAGTCTGTGACGTAGGATGAGGGGCCAGTTCACTGGCTGCCTTGCGTCGTCGTACTGTCTGATTGGCTGGCGCTGCTTGGATCCTTTTACCCCTCCCTCCCCCGACGACCAGTGGCGTTGGGATGGAGAAGTCGCGGCGGAAAAGCCCGGAGGGAGGTGGGGGGAGCCGGGGGGAGCCGGGGGGAGCATGCGTAGTGAAGCAAAGTGGAGGGTCCGGAGCGGAAGCCTTGAGTGACGTCAGTCATTGTCCCCGTGGTAACCAGGAACCACGGGGCAGGGGCGGGCTCGTGCCTAGGCATCGTATGCGTTGACACCGACGGTATGCAGAAACTTGTTTGAAAAGTAGAACATTACAGAATAGCTCCAAAATAGAGTAGGGTTTTGTTTTGGGTTTTTGTTTTTTTGTTTTTTTTGAGACAAGTTCTCATTGTGTAGCTGAGGCTGTCCTCGAATTCACGAACCTCTTGCATCTCCGGAGTCCTGAGATGACAGACCTGCACCACCATACCCGGCTTAAAGTAGATCAGTTTTATGGAGGGATTTAAAAGGATACCTGAGCCGGACGTGGTGGCGCACGCCTTTAAGCCCAGCACTCCGGAGGCAGAGGCGGGCCTGGTCTACATAGTTCTAGGCCAGCTGAAGCTACAGGGAGCACCTATCTCAAAACAGAACAATATCCGAACTGATGTAACAGCATATAACCTTAGATGAATGACAAGTTGTACACGCCTGCCATCTAGATGAGCACTTGAGAGGCAGAGGCAGGAGCCCTGCGATGACTTCCAGGCCAGCCTAGGCTACATGTCTTTAATCCCAGCACTGGGGAGGCTGAGGCAGGCGGATCTCTGTGAGTTCAAGGCCATCCTGGGAATCCAGGCCAGCTGGGGCTACAGGGAGACCCTGTCTCAAAAAGACCAAAAAAAAAAAAAGCCATGCCTGTCTTAAAATTTTTTTAGAAAAAAAAATACCACAATGAAATCTATTATTTTGTATGACCTCTTAAAAAAAAAAAAAAAAAAAAACCCGGCTTGGTGCACTTGCTAGCAATCCTACCTCTTTTTTGTGTATGAATGTTTCACCTGCGTGTATGTAAGTGCACCCATGTCATGCAGTGCCCCCAGAGGCCAGAAGACTGGTCAAATCCCCTCGAACTGACTGCTAGCTGCCCTGTGGGTGCTGGGAGCTGAACCCCAGTCCTCTACAAGAGCAGCCAGAGCTAAGCCATCTCTCCAGTCCCCTAATCTCAGCTCTTACAAAGAAGCATCAGGAGTTCAAGGTCATTCCTGGCGGGCGGGGGGCAACAACAAAGTCAAACCTAAAATTAGTTCAAGTATGCATTTCTATTGAAATCTCAAGAGTGGGCAAGGAATTTGACTAAATTATCTTAAAATATATGACCATGAAAACGGTGGAGAACTTATTAATGAAGCTGAAGCAGGACATGCCTTTCCAACAAGTAAACTCAAAAGCAATGAAAGATTTTGTTGCTGAAAAGACAGGTTAACAAAGTAGAATAGAGCCAGAAATGGAATTATCACAAAGATGATTACTGCAACTCAGTAGAGGAAAAGATGTTTTAAGTAGTGATGATGAGCCAGGCATGGTGGCCCAGGCCTTTAATCCCAGCACTTGGGAGGGAGAGGCAGGCAGATCTTTGTGAGTTCGAAGCCAGCCTGGTCTACATAGTTCCAGGCCAGCTGTGGCTACAAGCAGACCCTGTCTCAAAAAGACCAAAAAAAAAAAAAAAAGTGATGTAGAGTCTTAAATCTAAAAACACGTAGTCTACAGTTTAGAAGATTAAAGGAAGGTAATCTAGGGATTGAGGAGAGACTATTAAGAGATTATCCAAAAATTTAAACCATCCAAAAATTCAACACCGTGACAGATGAGGGTTGCTACATGGTAAGTCACTAATATCTGGGCTGAGACTACAGCTCAGTGGTAGTGTGCTTGACTAGCATGTTCCATCTAGAACTGCAAAGAAGAGTGAGCAAACATCTGTAATGCCCAAAGAAATCTTTAAAACTGGAGCTGGGAGGCAGGGGGAGCTGGAGAGTCAGCTCAGCAGCTTAGAGCACTGGCTGTCTTGTAGAGGACCCAGGTTCAGTTCTCAGCCCCCACATGGCAGCTAAAAATCATCCTTAACTTCAGTTTCAGGAGATCCAACACCCTCTTCTGACCTCCACAGGCATTGCACACACGGTGCACTGACATACATGAATGCAAAACACTCATGCTTGTGAAATAAAAATTTTTAAGTAAAAAGTCTAGGGAATGTAGCTCAGCTCAATGGTTCATCACTTACCTGCCAAGCATAAGGTCCTGGGTTTGATCCCCAGCACTGAAAAAGCAAGTTGGGCTGCGATGTAGCTCAGTGGTAGAGTGCTTGCCTAGTATTTGGGAGGCCTAGGTTCGGTCTCCAGTACTTGAAGGGAAAAAAGGATTGTACCTGTTTAGTGCAGTTGCAGGGTTGTTTTTTTCTCCTGAATATTTTCCATTCCTAGCCAGCTGAATCCACAGATAGCTGACCATCTAGAGAAAGCTATATATGGATACATAGCACATCCCCTCCATTGGAGAGAAATTGGATAATGAAGTTCTCTACTAAGTCTTACAAATTCATTTTTCTGGTTGGTTGGTTTTGTTGTTTTGAGACAGGGTTTCTCATAGCCAAGGCTGTCCTAAAACTCAACTATGTAGCTTGAGCTTTTTTTTTTTTTAATTTAGTTTTATGTGTGTGAGTGTTGCCTGCATATAAGTGAACCACATGCATGCAATGTCCCTGGATGCCAGAAGAGGACAGGAGCCTCTGGAACAGGGGTTACAGACAGTTGTTAGCTGCCATGTGGATGCTGGGAACCAAACCCAGGTCCTCTGCAAGAACAGTCAGTGCTCTTAACAGCTGAACCAGCTCTCCGGTTCTGTAGTTTGAACTCCATCCTCCTGATGCAGCCTTCCATTGCTAGGGTTACAGGCCTGTGCCACCATACCTGATTCCAACATACATAACATATATATGTTTATATTCATATACATGTATGTATTTTGGGTGGCTTTTTTTTTTTTTGGTCTTTTTGAGTCAGGGTCTCCCTGCAGCCCCAGCTGGCCTGGAACTCACTATGTAGACCAGGCTGGCCTTGAACTCACAAAGATCCTCCTGCCTCTGGCTTTTGAGTGTTAAAGGCAAGGCATGCACCACCATGCACAGCTCTTTTTTCCTTTTTTGAGACTGGATCTCATAGCCAAGACTAGTTTATGTAACCAAGGGTTGCTCTATCCTGCCGCTACCTCCAAAGTGCTGGTCAATGGGCTGGAGAGGTGGCTCAGGGGTTCTGACGCCCTCTTCTGACCTCCGTGGGCATTGCAGGACACGGGTGCCCTTACATACATGCAGACAAGACACTCATACACATTAAAATATTTAAATAAAACAAAGTGTTGGCAAGAGATATATTTTGAAAACCAGAAGGAAAAGTTCATTTGTTCTGTAAATGCAGCAAAGCTGTGGAGGAGAGAGTCAGTGTTGGAGCAGCTGCTCAATGCTGATGTCTGGGGGACACTGCAGTATGTGGAACCCAGTTCCCACCCTCAAAAGAGCTAGAGTCTAGCCAGGCACGGTGGCACATGCCTTTGATCCCAGCACTCGGGAAGCAGAGGCAGGCAGATCTCTGTGAATTCAAGGCCAGCCTGGTCTACATAGTGAGTTCCAGGACAGCTGGGGCTACAGGGAGACCCTGTCTCAGAAAGACTAAAACAAAACAAAACAAAACAAAAAACAAAAAAACTAGCCTAGCAAAGACAAGACAGAGGCACAAATACCCAAGCTGGTACCAGTGCAGGGTAGCTGTGCACTCCTTTGGGCTTTTCACCATGGGTAATCACTTCAGTTTAATTGCCTCTTTTGTCAGGATTTTTAAAAAATATTTTTATTTTATGTGTATGAGTGTTACGCTTGCATGCATATAAGTGCATCTGTGTTGTGCAGTGCCCGAGGAGGACAGAAGAGGGTGTTGGATCCCCTGGAACTGGAGTTACAGACAGTTGTTAGCTACCATGTGAGTACTGAGATTCGAACCCAGGTCTTCTGTAAGAACAGTGTTCTTAACCACTGAGCCATCTCTCCAGCCCATCAGGATTTTTGTGAGAATATTATGAGAATATATATACATATATTATTATGTATATTATTAAAAGAAAATTTGTTAAGAGAATAAAAGCATAAACACTAAGAGAACAGCTCCATCAACCATGTGGCTGAAGAACTTAGCGTGTGTTTTCAGTTACTAAATGTATTTATTTACTCTTTATTTTGGGGACTGCAGAGATGGCTCAGCACTTAAGAGCACGTGCTGCTCTTGTTGAGGGCTGGAGTTCACAGGTATAGTGCACGTGCACACCTTGGCAGGTAGAGGCAGGAGAATTAGGCGTTCAAGGCCAGCCTCAGCTACATAGGAAAATTGAGACCAACCTGGTATACATGAAACCCTGTCTCAACAAAGCAAAACAACCACAACAACAAAAGGGAAGACATGGTTCTTGGAAGGGAATGCTCCCTTTCCTTACCATTTCCTACCTCAAGTCCTTCTGTCCCATCACTTTTCCCCTTTGAGCCCTCAGAATGAAACTCATACTCAGGAGAGTGCCACATTTGTTTGTTGTATCATTGGTCTTTTTATTGTGTGTGTGTGTGTGTGTGTGTGTGTGTGTATGTGTGTTTTGCCTGCATGCAAGTTAGGCTTGCACAGCCAGTGCCTGCCCTTGTCTCTGCCCACTAAACCATCTCCCCAGTCCTCCCTCTGTTTTGAGACAGGATCTCACTATATAGACCAGGCTGGTTCGAACTGTGAGTGAGCCTCCTGCTTCTGCCTCCGAGTACTAGCATTACAGGTATGAGTTGCCACACCCAACGTAAGTCTAGAATTTTCCATTCAATATTTTCAGACCAGTAGTAACTGAAACCCCAGAAGGCAAAACCCCAGCTATTAAGGCGGAGCTACAGGAATACCTTTCTTCCAGCAAAGCTGTTGCTGTGAAGTTCAGCGCTCAGAACAAAGCCAGAGCAGCCAATATCCATAAGTGTCTAATGTATTCTTGGGACCATTTTAGATTCTGGTCATATGCTTTTTTTTTTTAAGTAGAGAATTCAAGGCTAATCATATTCTGTTGTTTGAGTTTTTCAGACAGGGTCTACCTGTATCCCCAGCTGGAACTCATTATATAGACCAGGCTAGCCTCAATCTCACGGAGATCTACCTGCCTCTGCCTTCTAAGTGCTGGGACTAAAGGTATGTGCCACCATACCTGGAAAAGCCATATTCTTCAAAATATAACTAGAAAGTAAACATGATGATTGGGCTGGGCTGTAGCTCAGCTGGCAAACTGCTTGCCTAGTTTACTTGGAGCCCTGGGTTTCATCCCCAGCACCATACAGTGGGGCTTATACCTTAGTCCTAGCACTTGGGAGGTAGAAGCAGGAGAAATTCAGGGTCATCCTTGGCTACAGAGCAAGAGTGGAAGCCTGCCTCAACTACATGAGACACTGTCTCAAAACAAAACAAAAAAAAACTTAACAAAACCGTAGGGCAGTGGGAGGACTGGGAGATGAGTCTGTTCTGGATGCTCCATGTGGACCTAGGGGTTTGGGAACGAATGGTCTTGATGTATATGCAGCTTAAAGGCTGCAGTGTTCCTTCCTGTCTCCCCCTCCCCCATAGGATCGTGCTGTGTAGCCTAGGCTGGCCTTAAATTCACAGTCCTGCTTCAGATGCTGGGATTACAGGCGTGCACCACCACATCCAGCTTTCCTTCTCATGCTTTTCAGTGGAAAGATGTTTACCCCTGTGCATGCATGTACAGTCAAATGATAGTTTGGTCTCAGTTTCTGACTTTCTAACGTCCTCTCATGCTGCCCAGTTTATGGGACTTGGTGGTTTATCTCCACGACCCATCTGCGTTGCTGCACAAAGTACATTACACTTCCTGCCTTCCAACCGCCCTGCTGTTTGTTAGCTGAGGATATGGTATATCCTGGGGAAACTCAAGATCAGCAAATATGGCTGCTGTCCAGCCTTTCCATATCACACTCCTTTTCCAGAGAGCTGCTGTGCGCCTGCAGGGATGGCAGCACTAGGACTCTTAGGTGCTCTTTTGGTACAGGTCTGGTCCCTTAACATCCTACCTGAACATCCTAGTGAGCCCCTGCTGTTCTGTTCTGTTTGATTTGGTTGTTTTTTTCCTGAGACAGCCTCACTATGTAGCCTGGCTGGCCTAGAACTCACTTCATAGACTGACCTGGTCTTGAACTTACAGAGATCCACCAGCTTCTGCCTCCCAAGTGCTGGGATTAAACGGATACACCACACCCAGCTCTTGTTTGTTTGCTTTTATGAGACAGGATGTCCCTGTAGCCCCAGCTGCCCTGGAACTACCTACATAGACTAGGCTGGCCTAGATTTCACAGAGGTCCATCCAGCTCAAGTGCTGGGACTAAATGTGCTACCGTGCCTGCTTCTTTTCTTTTGACATAGGGTCTTGGTATGTAGCCTGGCTAGCAATCCTCCTGCCTCAGTCTCCCAAGTGCTGGGTGACAGGCATGAGCCACCATGTCTGTCAGTGTCCTTTTAGCCACAGACTGATGAAGAGACACCATCCCACAGATTCTGCCCATGGAAGTTATTTGCCTGGTACTCTCCTATGGCAAACACAACCACTCCAACCCAGCAATGCCACATCCAGGAATTTATCCCCCAGAAACACTAAAGCATGCAGAGTAGCCCTGGCACAGGAGGGGTTTATTGCAGGGTCCTTGTAACATCATAGTAGAAACAACTTAAACTTCATAATAGGGAACTCTGTGTGTGTAGATAGTTTGGTCTTTTTGAGACAGGGTCTCCCTGTAGCTCCAGCTGACCTGGAACTATGTGGACCAGGCTGGCCTCGAACTCACAGAGATCTCTGCTTCCATGCCCAGTTGTGTTTGTGTATATTTTTTACCTGCATGTATGTAAGTGTACCCATGTACAATGCCCATAGAGGGTAGAAGGTGGCATCAGAAACTGGAGTTACAGGTGGCTGATAGCAGCCACGTGGGTGATGGGAAGCAAACCTGGGTCCTCTACAAGAGCAGCCAGTGCTCTTAACCTCTGAGCCATCTCTCCCACCCCTCAATAGGGATCTTTGAGTCAGCAGTTACCAGAAGCTCATAGAAGCCAATACTAGTTATAAAACAAAAAACAAATGTCGCCGGGCATGATGGTGCATGCCTTTAATCCCAGCACTCAGGAGGCAGAGGCAGGTGGATCTCTGTGAGTTCAAGGCCAGCCTAGTCTACATAGTGAGTTCCAGGACAGCTGGGGCTACAGGGAGACCCTGTCTCAAAAAAAAAAAAAAAAAAAAAAAAAAAAGCCAAACAAAAAACCAAATGTCAAGACTGAAGATAAGCAAAAGATCTCCAGGTGTATTTTCAGATGGCCAGTAGAATATGGGAAATGCAGCCATGTGCGTAAAAACAGCAAATTGTTAAATATGCGTGGATGCTTCTAGAGAGTGCTTAGAGGATCTCTCATAGAGCTCTGGATGTCCTGGGACTCACTATGTAGACCAGGCTGGGCTCCAACTCCTAGACATCCTCCTGCCTCTACCTCCTGAATGCTAGGATTCCAGGCATTCATGACTGCCTGGCTTGAAAAAAGCTATGAACACACACAGAAATAACACGTCAGTATTTCCTTCTCTATCCCTGGCTCACTGCGCTCTTTCACTTGTGGTACCCCATGCTGGTGGAAAGCACCATCAACCAGCCTCACTTTTCAAAGGCCCCTCACTTTGGCACATTACCCCCCCAAATGTCTTCGGAGGGACGCTGCAAGCTGTACGACCTGCCACAAGGTGGTGCTGTCTGCAGCCTGCTGCTCTGAGGGCTGAGGGCCAGTTCTCCCTGGGTGCTTAGGGTCAAGTGTCCGGACCACTGCTGAGTGGAGCTCACCTCCCACCCTCAGCATTCTCCATGAAAGTCTGGGAGATAGGAAACTAGAACTTCACTTTGGGGCCCTATCCCCCCCCACCCCCCAGCACCTGTGACTTTAAGCATTCAGAGCCTGAAAAGGCCTCTCACCCTTCTTGGGGTTTCATTGGCGTTATGGGCTGTGTTCTCTCCCCTGGTCTGGCTCCCTGTATGTCAAGAAACCCTCCTTGTCACTGGACTTCAAGCAGTCAGGGCTCTGCGATGGTAGCCCATCTAACAAGGGCTCATCTACTTACATGAGCTGCCACCTACCCAGGCCCACCCACCCATGGCTTCACTGAGCTGGCACAGACTTGCAGCTGGTACACCAGGCACAAGGCGTCCTGCCAACACTTGCCCTGAACGTGAGAACAGAGCAATGAGCTCCGGACCTTTGCTCCAGAGGCCCCCCTATGGCCCTCTCAGGCCTGGCCTTGTCTGTGTACCCCACTCTCCTTGAGTGGCCTTGGTCCTGAGTAACTAATCTGTATCTGGGTCCTGGCCTGGAGGGCTCTGAGCCCTCTTCAGGGGGAACTCAATAAAGAACACAAGCAACAGCAGAGCCATAGGACAGATAGGTCTGTTCATGGGCTGTGGCAAAGGTGGCCCCTTCTTGGGGGCTGGCCTCTATCTTGGTAGTGACCCCAGGCTTGGCATGGACTGACTATAAATACTAGTTAAAGGAGCCCACTCCCATCTTCCCAGGCTAAGAGCATGCCGTGTTATAGTGCTGCAGGCCTGTCATGGACACTGTGGTAGATGGGGCCTGGGGGGAGCAGCTTCCAGACACGTCATGGACATGGTGGCTAGCTTCATGGCCAGCCCTTCCTGCATCTTCCCACAGACCATAAACAAGATCTTGTTGGGGAAAACTTGCTCTGGATGGGTCTTTGTTCAGATTTAACCTGGCATGGGTCTCTGGGGTGCCAAACTACAACAGAGGTCTCATACTACCAACCAGTGAGGGCTGCTCTGGGCAGGGAACTGGGGGTCTACAGGTCCCTGAGACGGCCGCTGGACCACTGGCCATTGTCACCTATGCCTGGCGTCCCCAAAGCACCAGTGGACTTCCATGGTACATGCCTAGGACCAACTGAGTACTCACTGAAAAGTGTCTTGCAGGAGAGGGAGGGAGGAAGGAAGGACAGAAGGTAGAAGCCCAGCTCCTCCACCCCAGAGGGACCAGTGGGATAAAACCAACCAGCTTTAATACCAATATAATTCTCTCTTAAATACATGTTCCCCAGGACAGAGCCCAGGGCCGGCTCTTGGTAGAAAGAATGAAGATGTGAGAAAATGGAATAGATTGGCAAGGTGGCCCCATCCTGCCCAAGGCCTCTGCAAAAGAGACAAGCCTCCTGGCAGGGAGGACAGGTGGCCACAGCTTCCTTGGGTCCAGTTATTGCTGAGGGGGGTGGGCTACCTCCCCTCCTCACCCCCAGACATTTCTCAGGTTTAGGTCTGCCCTCCAGGCCCCAGCAGAGGCTGGAAGTGGCAGCTTGGGCCTGGGCACCGTCAGGGCAACAGCTCAGTAGCTACTCTGGTGGCCTGTGAGGATGTAGAGGTTGCTGTGTGCCCCAGGGTTGTCGGTGGGGATGCTCTCCAGGATGATGTCTCTGGTGGGGAGAAAGTCGCTAGGTGAGCAAGGCAGGGGGAGCCAGGTAAACCCATCCTGTAGTCTGGGGGTACTTGAAAGGGAAAGTGGGGCACTGCCACTTACCTGTGGGCCCCCAGCACTCGGAAGATCCTTGTCTCATCTGTGATCTCCTGAGTCACCTGGAAGACAGAGGGCTCTGAGACCATCCCAGCAGATCCACTCTAAAAAGGTGGACACAGTGGACTGGAGGCAGCAGGGCACTGAGCGTGAGCCTACTCACCTCATTGGTGTCAAGGCTGCGTCCCTGCATGCCATGGCTCCAGAAGGCTAGCACACTGTCCTGCAGACACACTGGGAGGACCAGTTCTGTCAGCCCTGCATACCCTCCCATCCCCTCCCACCTAGCCACCATGAGGCAGGCTGGCCCTTTGGCTATTCCAGCCCCACCTGACCTGGGCCAACCCACAGGAGTCCCCACTGATGTTGGGTGACCAGGATGGCTCCCCAGAGGGACTAGGGGATCTACCCTAGTCCCACTGCCAGCCCCAGGCTCCTGAGCTGAATCACATGCTCCGGGGCTGTGGATACTGCCACGCCCATGTCTGGCTCACTCACCCACAGTCTCGATGGGAAAGTCAAATGTCAGCTCAGGGGCCAGTGTGGCAGTGGGCTCACCCTGCAGGTTGACAATCCTCACGCATCCTGCACAGGGAGAGCGCTGGTGGGTGGGGACAGACGGCTTCCTTCTGGGACTGCTCTCCTCACCCCTACTCTCTACCGCCCCCCAGTCCTGATCCCAGGGCACTCACGTTCAAAGCTGACCAGGACTGTGTCCCTGTCCACCTGGATCACCTGCTGGGCTGAGCCTGGGATCCCCTCTGTGAGTAGAAAAGGGAGGCGAGGCCTGCCTGGCTGAGCCACCAGCCCACTCTGCTCCCAAAGAGCATGCCACAGCCAGCCCTTGGCCACCACATGGGTGTGGGACACAAGGAGGACAAAGGCCTCGCCCTCAGGCTTCCAAGGAGCAGGGAAGACATCCCAGAGGACTCTGGAGTCAGGCAAACCAGCCTGTGAGACTCAGGGCTCCAGTGGTCCCTGTGGCTGAGAAGTCTGTTTTCCCTGCTCAGTGTGGAAGCCTCCGGTACCCGGCTGGAGCTGCTCTTCCCGCTGCCTTTGCCTCAGGCCGAAGCATGGACAGCCCGCTTTTTCCTGGCCGCCCAGCCCTTTGGTTCAATGAGGTCTTTCAGTTTTGTTTTGCCTGTCATGTGTAACCCAGGCTGATCTCAAACTCACTATAGCCCAGGAAAGGCCAGAACTTCTGATCCTCCTGCCTTCACTGGGCTCACAACTATGGGCCACCATGCCTGGCCTTGTTTTATTTTTGAGACAGGACCATGCTATGTAGGTCAGGCTGCCCTGGAACTTGATATAGCTCAGGCTGGCCTCAAACTTAGGATCTTCCTGCCTCAACCTACCAAGCATTTATCACCATGCCTGCTTTTAAGGGTTAACCTTGCTGAGTTGCCCAGGCTGGCTAACTCATGGGCTCAAACAATCCTGCCTTGTTCTTTCCTGTAGCTGGGACCAGAGGCCCATGCCCACCAGTCTATTTTTTAAATTAACATTTATTTTTATTTTTTGTGTACAAGTATTTTGCCTGACATGCAGTGCCCACAGAGGTCAGAAGAGGGTATCAGATCTCCTGGAACTGGAGTTATGGATAGTTTTTAGCCACAATGTATTGCTGGGAACTGAATCCAGGTCCTCTGTAAGAACAGCCAGTGCTCCTAATTTCTGAGCCGTCTCTTCAGCCACCCCACACCCAGCCCAGTCTAATGAAATCTTTCAGGGAAGCCTAGATGCAGCAGGCTTAGACTGAGGTGCCCCTCATCCTGCCTCTTCCCACTCTTATGCAACACCCCCAGCACCTAGTCAAGCTGCTCACCAGGGGGGATGAGGATGTCAGGTGTCAGGCCAGTCTCCAGGGGCAGGACATGGAACAGGACACGACAGCCAGGCCCCTCCGGCCCCTCAGCTCCCACACATACCTGTGGCAGCTCTTTCCCATCCAGCACCAGAGGCTCCAGCATCCCCGCTGGGCTGGGCAAGGGGCTAGAGAAGTTCTGTGGGGGGCGGCGGGAAGCTCAGTTCTGTTTCTCTCCCAGACCTGCCACCCAAGGGTCCCCGTCCCCATCCTCCCTGCACTCCCTTACCTTCAGCAGCAGGAATTTCTGCAGTGGCTCATACCACTGCAGCAGGAGTAGGCTGGCAGGCAGAGCGGCCAGCAGGAAAGTGCTGCCTGTGTAGGGGTTACGCACTACAGGAGAAGCAGGCAGTGAGTGAGGGCTCGCCCTCCCAGTACCCCTCCCGGCCCCAGGCAGCTGCTCTTACCCACACGGCACTGCAGGCAGCCTTTGGTGTCAGGAATCTTGGTAGACAGGGCGAAGCGCCTGTAAGGATGAGAACTGGCATGTTTTGGGAGCCATGTTTGGGTAAGGCTCCCACAGAGCCCTGTGAGGTGGCCACTGGCATCTTCCCATTTATAGATGAGACCTTAAGGCTCTGTGAGGTACAGGAGGGTGCCTGTGAGAACCACAATGGGCTCCACAGACATCTTAGGCTCTCCGGATTAGGATGTCTTAGGAGGCTGGTTTATTTTTAATTTTTTTAAAAATATATAGATTTTCTTGCCTTTTTAAAATTAATTTTTCAAAATTTATTTTTATGAGTGTTATCCCTGCATGTGTCTAAGTGCACCCATGCCTTGTAGTACCCTTAAAGGACAGAGGGGGTGTTGGATCCCCTGGAACTGGAGTTATAGATGATTGTTAGCTGCCATGTGGGTGCTGGAAATTGAACCTGGGTCCTCTGCAAGAACAGCCAGTGGTCTTAACCCCTGAGCCATCACTACAGTTCCTGTGTTTTGTTTTGAATGTGTATGAGTGTATTGCCTGCATGTATGTGAGTGCACCTGTGTCATGCAATGCCACGGAGGTCAGAAGAGGGCTTCAGATTCCCCTGGAACTGAAGTTAAGGACAGTTCATAGCCACCATGTGGGTGCTAGGAATCGAACCCGGGTCCTCTGCAAGAGCAGTCAGTGCTCTTAACCACTGAGCCATCTCTCCAGTTCCTTTAAGTTTTTTGAGACAGTCTCACATAGCCCAAGCTGACCTCAAACTTGCTATGCTAGTGGAAACTGGCTTAGAACTCTGGATCTTATTGCCTCAACCTTCCAAGTCCTGAGATTACAGGTCCAAGCCACCATACCTGGCCCTTTATTTATTAGGTTCCTTAGATTTTTGAGACAGGGTCTCACTATGTAGCCCTGGCTGGCCTCAAACTCACAGCTATCTGCCTATCTCTGCCTCTACCTTCAGAGTGCCTATCTGTAAAGGTCAGAGGATAACACGTAGGACTCAGTTCTCTCCTTCCACATGTGGGTCCTGGGGATTGAACTCAGGTCATCAAGCTTGGCAGCAAGTACCTTTACCTACTGAGTAATCTCACTGGCCCCTGTCTAGTTTTCAGAGATAGGGTCTCACTTGTAGCCCAGGCTGGCCTGTAACTCACTATGTAGGCCAGGCTGACCTGGAATCTGTGGCAATCCTCCTGCCTCCGTCTCCTAATTGCTGGATTGCAGGTATGAGCCCCTACCTGGGGTCTGTGTGGTTCTGAGCAAGCAGCTTCACCTCTCCATGCCTGTTCTTCACTTGCAGGTGAAGAAGCAAGTGTGGAGGCTGAAAACTGAGGCAGGCCCCAGCTTGCCAGGTTGCAGAGTACGCTTGGCCCATTTCACAGATGGGCAAACAGGCCCTAGGAAGTGGAAAGACTTCAAACAGCAGATGGCCTGCCTTCTGGGGAGTCCCCCGTGCCCTCAGAAGACTGACCCTTCCAGCCTGTTCCTTCCTATGGGGAACTGGGCTGTATGTTGGCTGTCCTCTCCTCCCAGTGACTCAGCCCATCTGCGCTTCTGCCAGGACGAGCCCCTGGGAGGAAGCCGGTGTCTGCCTCTCACTGCCCTCTGCCCTCCTTTCTTCCTCCCTCTCTCTTCCCAGCTGGCATTTGGGTGGGTCAGGATATATATCTGCATCTGGTTTTCCTCTGAAGAATTCCAGTTTTCCCTTCATGTTCAAAGTAGACACAGACACAGGCCCGTGCTGCCCCTGACCTACTGCAGCTCTCTCAAGCTGCTTCCTGAAGGTGCTGGGCCAAAGCAGAGACTCAGGAAGCCCTGAAGGCCACAGGGCACCAGGTGCACGCTTGGTGTGAGCTCAGATGCAAGGCTCTCTTCCAGTTTTCCCAGTGTTGCTGCCACTGGCCTGGCCTGCCCCAACCAAACCTGGCCATGGCAATATCTGAGCCTCTGGCCTGGACCCCACCTCCTTGGAGTTCCAGTGCCCTCAGATGGACCCCGGGAAGTTCCACTCACACATGGAATATGTATCTTTGGAGGGGAAGTGGGTGTTGAGACAGGATTTCACACTACAGCCACACTGGCCTTAAACGTGCAGTAATCCTCCTGTCACAGACTCTTGCATGCTGGGATTACAGACATACACATCTTATTTAACATGGCAGAATTGAATTCAGTCCCAGCCAGTGCCTATGTCAGCCACAGCTGATGACAGCTCCATCCTTCCCCTAACCCAGGACAGAAGCCTTGTATTCAACCTTGACTCCCCTTTCTCTTTCAAACACCACCTATTGCCAGGAAATCCTGCTGGCTCCACTTGCGAAACAGAACCCAAACCAGGCTAGTTTTTACTTCCTTGACTCCTGCAACCCACGCCTCCACTGCCGGCCACCTGACCACTGTAACAGCCTTCCCACAGTCTGCCCCTCATCTGTCACCAGGCAGCTGGAGATCCCATGAGGATCTCAGTTCGTCATGCCTTGCCAGCAGCCCTCAAGCTGCTGTGAGTCAAAGTCCAAGGCTTCCCTGTGGACACAGGCCCTCACAGGTCACCTGTTCCTCATGCAGGCCACACTCACTTCTGCCCCAGGACCTTTGCACTGGACATCACTTCTGCTTGGGTGACTTCTCCACATATCCAGTCCGTTAACATTTTTCTTTAATTACATTGTGTGTGTGTGTGTGTGTGTGTGTGTGTGTGTGTGTGTGTGTGTTGGTCAGAGGACAACTTTTGGGAGTCAGATCACTCCTTCAATCATGTGAGGTCCCTGGAATCAAACTCAAGTTGATCATCAGGCTTGGTGCACACACCTTTACTAATTTAACCATCTCACCAGCCCCATAGGCCTCTAAATCTTAGGTGTTGGTCTTATAGTGCTAGGGATTGAACCTAGGGTCTCACATGCTAGGCAAGCACAGTGAGTTACATCAGCCCTGTCCTCTTAAATCTTGACTGAAATGGCATTTCTCACACAGCCCAGGCTAGACTCAAATTCACTATGTAACCAAGGATAACCTGGAACGCATGATCCTCCTGCCCCTGCCTCACAAGTGCCGGAATTACAGGCATGCACCCCCACACCAGCACAGCTCTTAGCCAGCTGAATCACCTACAGCAGGAGGGAGCCTTTAAAAATGCTGACAGTACTGCTGCCCACTGGACACAGCCCAAGTCCTGGGCCTGACAGAGGAGGGAGAGCTCAGCTACCTACACAGCTTTCAGCCCTCAGGCCAAATGCCAGGAGGCTCCCCAGGCCTGTCTGGTCCCACCAGCACTCACTCTCCTGGAATGCTGTTCCCAGCTCTGCTATCAGGTTTGTGCGCCCTCAAACTCTGAGCTCCCCGGCCTCTCTGCAGTCCCCTCAAACCCTGAGCTCCCCGGCCTCTCTGCAGTCCCCTCAAACTCTGAGCTTCCCGGCCTCTCTGCAGTCCCCTCAAACTCTGAGCTTCCCGGCCTCTCTGCAGTCCCCTCAAACTCTGAGCTTCCCGGCCTCTCTGCAGTCTCCTGGCTCTTAATGCACTCTCTCCAGGCTCCCTGGGCACCAGGCACTGCCTGCCATGGGTACTTATCTCCTTTGGTACTTTTCTCCATGGGTACTTTTCAACAAATCAGGGTCTCCCTGGACTGTGTGCCAGGTCCAGCCCAGAGCCCTTCAGAGCTATGTGCTCCCTGCACAGTTGCTGAACCACCAGATGAAGCCAAGGGCTCAACCACTGCAAAGCACTTTCCCACCTACCATCCCCTTTGTACCTCCCAAAAAGCCAGGTGGACAGGAGAGGACTCCACCAACTGTACTGACCTAGGAAAGCAAGAGCCTAAGTGACTGGTTAAGATCCTGACAGTCTCAGGAGTGATCACCCCATTCGGCCAGCACTATCCTGGCTCCCCAAATTCCCAACAGCTCACATCCCCTGAACCCCCAGCTGACCTGGGAATGATGTGCTGGGTGAGGCGGTTAGTGGGAATGGAGAGGGGTGCCTGGTGCTGTAGTCTCCGCTGCTCAAACAGGCCAGGGAGGTCATGCGCCCAAATGTGAGTGGATTTCCCTGCAGAAGAGGAGGAGGGTCATAAAGGGTTCAGAAAAAGTGTAGGGCTGGGCACTGGGCCATCCCTGCACCCCCATCTCCACCTGAGAGCGACAGCAGCACATTGTTCACACAGTAGAGCCAGGAACAGCGCTGGGAGACGAGCTGGGTCACAGAGACAGGCAGGCAGGTCGTAAGTGCTCAGCGGCCCCTGGCCTCTGCCCCCACCCAAGCCAGACCTCACTTTTTCCAGCGTATCCTCATGTAGCTCATGCAGGTTGAGGGTGTAGACACCTTCCTCAGCCCCCACCACCAGGAACTGGTCTGTAGGTGTGAGCAGGGGGTCAGAGGTTGGCCATACCCCTTGGCCTAAGCCTAAGAGCCTTATCTGTTCTAGGTTACTGCATCCTCTCTACCCCTGGCCTACCTCGAGTCACAGGGTGAATCCAAGTGACAGCTGCGTGAATCCGCAGGGGGCAGCCGTTGAAGACCTTGGAGAAGCAAGCGCCCATCTGGACAGGAAACAAGGAGCTGATGAGGGACCCAGGGATGAGGGAGGCAGGGCTGCAGGGCTAAGGAGTGGCAGGCAAACACTTACGTGCACCTTGGGGGTTGGGGGAAGGCCATGGCAGGATGACCTCTGTGTGAGAGGAAAGTAGTCAGGCCCAAGGTGACACCCTATGGGCCACCTCCTGCCCCTCTGGGGCCCACTCACCTCAGGACCTTCCCGGTGCTTCAAGGTGGCCCAAGCAGTAGGCAGCAGTGGGGGACTGCCAGGGCCAGGTGGAGGTGCAGGCGGGGCTCCTATAAGCACAGGCCACGGTGACTCCTGGCACCAGCTCCCACCCCAGGGCTCCTCCTGGCTTGCCAAGCCTGGGTCTCACCTGAGGGGCTGGACTGAGGGTTGGCCTCAGGTGTTGACTCAGTGGGGGGCAGCCCCAAAAATGGGGCCCGCTTGATGGTTCCCATGGCACTGTCTGGGGAGTCCAGCTCCTGGCAAGAGGGTTAGGGGTCCAGTCTGACCATCAGCAGGTGCCTTGTGACCTAGTCTCAACCTCACAGCAACCCATCCACACAGCCTGCTTCCTAGCTCCACCCCGCCGATCCACACCTGGAGTTCTGAGGCTGGCCGAATGGTCAGGCTCCTGCAGGGACACAGCAGAGGGCATAACACAGTGTGAGCAGAGACTGGCCCCCAGGTCTAGTGCCCTTCACCCCAGGCACAGGCCCCTCACCTTTCCTCCAGGGCCTCTTGGACTGACTGCAGCAAGCTCCTGAACCAAAGAGAGAGGGGTCAGAGGTCAGTCTTCCATAAGGCCCAACCTGGCCCTCAGCTTCTCCACCCAGCTCACTCACCCACTCAGCTCCTCCTTTCCCAGCAGCGTCCATTCCTCCTCCCACTGGAAGAAACAAAGGCAGAGATACCAGAAGGGTGAAGAAGGTAAGAGCAGTCAAGAGGACACACAGCCACTGTGGCGGCCTGCACTTTTTTTTTTTTTTTTTAAGTCTTTTTGAGACAGGGTCTCCCTGTAGCCCCAGCTGTCTGAGATCCGCCTGCCTCTGCCTCTGCTGGGATCAAAGGCGTGCGCCACCACGCCTGGGGTGGCCTGCACTTTTAATCCCAGCACCCAGGAAGCAGAGGCAGGTGGAGCTCTGTGAGATCGAGGCCAGCCTGGTCCACATAGTAAGTTCCAAGCCAGCTGGGGCTATAGGTTGACATGGAAGGAGACAGCCTGGCATGGTAGCCTACACCTGCAATCCCAGTAGTTGGGAGACAGAAATAGGAGGATCAGGAAGAATTCAAGGTCATCCTTGGCTACATGGTAAATTTCAAGGCCAGTTTGAACTATATGAGATGCAGCCTCAAAAGCAAACAACAAAAAAATATGGCAAAAGAGGCCCGACCTGGACAGACACACCTGTAATCTCAGTTTTTCAGAAGGGGCCCGACCTGGGACAGATACACCTGTAATCTCAGCTTTTCGGGAGACTGAGGTAGGAAGTTCAAGGCCACCCTGATTAACTTAGGAGACTGTCTCCACATTAACAGAGACAGAGACAGCAACAGAGAAAGGTTGCCAGACAGATGGTGGGCATGCTGGTAAACAGGCAAGAGATGTGAGAGACAAGAGAAAGAGACAAAGGGAGAGACAGCAAGGGAGACAGACAGCAAGACAGCAGGGCAGAAAGGAGCATTTGGGACTAAGGAGAGGAACTAGTGTCACAGACACAGTGAGAACAGTGTGACACAATCCTGTTACAGGCAGGCTGAGTAGCGTAGCTAAGTAGGGAGCCTCAGGCCTGTGACAGGCCCAGGTTTCAGAAAGGTATGGTCAGCCTGCCACTGTCCAGTACTTTTTAAAAATTTTCTATTTATTTTATATGTATGATTGTTTTGCCTGCATGTATGTAAGCGCACGTGTGTCATGCAATGCCTGCAGAGGCCAGAAGAGGGTTTCAGATCCTCTGGAACGGGAGTTACAGGTAGTTGTGAACCAACCAATGTGGATCCTGGGAACCAAACTCTAATCCTCTACAAGAGCAGCAAATGTCCTCATCAACCTCTGAGACATTTCTCCAACCCTCAGTGAATTTTTACTTTTGAGAAAATTCAGGCACAGAGATGTGAATTCATTTACCTGAAGTTTCTGCTGCCACTTCCTGTCTAGCCTGACAAAATGTCCGTCCTACTTCCTGCTTTGAATTCTGATCTCTAAGACCAGGTTATCAGAATTCCTCCATTGCAGGTGACTTCCTCATAGTGGTTAAGAGCAGGCACACAGGGCCTTGTGCCCTCCCTCTAGCCCCAACTGAATTAAAAGCAAGGTATTTCTTTGCACTTGAGATCAAATTGGAGTTACAGATGGTTGTGAGCCTCCATGTGGGTGCTGGGAACTGAGCCTGGGTCCTCTGCCAAGAGCAGCTAGTGCTCTTCACCACTGAGTCAGCTCTCCAGTCTCTTCTAGCACCTTCTAAAGGAAGCTGACCCAGGAGGAGCGTCTAGGCCAGGGCCCAGGTGACACAGCAACCCCTGCTTCAAAGCAGGCTTGGCTTGGGATGCTCTGTCTGCACCCCCATAACCCAACCCCACACAGCCCTCACCGGCTCATTGAGTGGATCCGTCTCCTTCCTAAGTGGGGCGCCAAATTTCACTTGGTGAACTGTAGATCCAGAGTATAGAGTTAGGGGCCAGAATCTCAGGATGGGCCCCCCTAAATAACAGCAGATCCATGGGCATGCACAGCCCTGCCAGAAGACTCACACTGGATCTCAGAGGGGGTCCTCTCAGCTGGGCCATGATGACTGCGTGAGTGAATGGTATCTGGAAACATGTCGTAGGTCTAAGAAAGAATAAAAACAGCGGGGCTTGAACCCAGCATTTAGGAACTCTTCCAGGTGCTTGCCACCCATTGGGGCATTCTGTTTTCATGCCAGCCTTCTGAGGGTACTGGGAAATAAAAGAGCACCCTCATCTCACAGATGGGAAAACTGGGACAGAAAGGTGAACAAACTTGTCAAAGATCTCTCAGAAAGATGACAGCTTAGTCACTGTCAGGGCTGGCCTGGGCCTGAAGGCAGGGACCTATCAAGGGGGTGGTACAGGGAGGCAAGACCCAGTCAGAGATTCCTGATGGATTCAACTGGAGGTGAACTCTGCACTGGAATTCCATAAACTGAAGAGACTGTCCGGATTTAAGAGTACTTCCAGGATCCTTGCGACCAGGCCAGGACCCAGTTCCCAGCCCCCGCCTCACCTCCAGCTCACAGTCTTCAGGGGAGAGGGTTCCCAGGTGGGGGTCGCTAGCCTTGTCCAGGAGCTGGGTGAGGAGGGCCCGAGGGAGCTGCTGGGTTGTGAAGGGGTGCTGCAGGAGTGAGGGAGTGGTCAGGTTGGCACCTGTCCTCTAGGCCCTGCTTTTGAGCCTCAGGCCCCACCAGGGACACACACCCCCGACCTCCTACCTGCAGCAACTTTTCAGCTGTGGGTCTCTTCTTGGGGTTCTTGGTCAGGGCCAACTTGAGGAAGTGGTGGAAATTCTGGGTCCTGGTGGACATAAGAGCCCCCCGCCCCCAAACCCAGGTTAAGCCCTGTACAGGGGCGTCTTGACAGATGTCCCCACTACTCCTCCAGGACCCAGCTGGGCCCACCCGGGAAAGAGCTCCCCAGGTATCACTGTGGGGATCAGGCTCCTCTCTCAGCAAGAGCCCCCCTCCCACGGGTCCTGCTGTAGAAGGGAGTCCCCTGGGGGTGAGCCCTCACCAGTGTGTCTTGTCTCTCAGCTTGGGCGGTTGAAAGCTGCTCTTAGACATAAGCATCAAGGCCCTGGGGAGGGTTCGAGGTCACGAGTCAAGGGTCAGCAGGGCAAGGGGCAGGCAAGGGGCATGTGCCAGGCTGACCTCATGGGGTGCAGGTGGAAGAGTGGCGGCTGCAGCTCGCCAAGCTCGATGGCGGTGATGCCCAGGGCCCAGACGTCACACAGTTCATTGTATCCACCCTTGCGTTCCACAGCAGCTACCTCTGGTGCCATCCTAGAGGCAGGGTCACAGATGGGATGGCCAGGTACTCTACTTGTGGCCCCCTGACCCTCTGGCCAGGGCACTGCCTCACCAGTATGGAGTGCCAATGAAAGACCGCCTCTTGGCCACAGATGCCGTCAGCTCGCCTGACACCCCAAAGTCCGCTGCAGGAAAAAGAGACTCTCACTAGCCCCAGGACCTCACTTACTTCCCACCTCTAGGGCGATGGCTTCACCAGGCCACACCAGGCTGTTCACCCCCTGGGGTAGTCACCCTCCCTCTATCCCTGACTGAGTGCCTGGTCTCATGTCAGATCCCTCCCTGACCCAACCTCAACCAATTACTGGTAGGCAAGGAGCACTGCTACATTTCCTAACTGGGGAAACTGAGGCTCAAGCAACAAAATGACTAGGATCCCCAGCACTGGAGGTCATATTCTCCCTATAGTCTCTGAGCTCCCATGAGCCCTCACCCTGGTGGCATCCCCAGGTACTGACCCAGTTTGACATCGCCCTGTAGAGTTAACAGAAGATTGGCACCCTGGGGGAACACAGACAATCTTGTCAGGAGCCTGGCAGCGGCCTCCTCTCTTGAATCATGCCCTTGGCCAGCCAAGTCCTACCTTGATGTCTCGGTGGATCTTCCCCTGAGAGTGCAGGTGGTGGAGCCCCTGGGGACAAAGAGGAGTCCCTGAGGGCAGCTACTTAGTGCTAATTACCTCTCCTGAGCCCCTCCTCAGAAAGGGGCCCCCCACCCAAGCAGCTTCCTCCTCCCCTCTCCCCAAACAGGAAGTGACTGAGCCAAGAGGGAAATGGGCTGCTTCCGGCAACAGGGCTGGGGCCCCTTCCCCCTGGTGGACCCATAGACCCTGGGCAGGCCCAGCCCAAGTCCCTGTCTCCCAGTGGCCAGCTGGGCTTGGCCCATAGCTCCAGGGCACTGGCATGTGAGTGCTACCTGTGGTCTCAACTACCTTCAGTGCCTCCCGGCAGACATAGGCAATCTGCCGTTCCTCCAGGGGCCCAGTGGCTGAAATGGAAAGCAAAGAGAGCTGTCACTGGAGCCTGAGGATATACTGATCCTCCCTAGCCAAGGAGTAGGCACTGCTGGAGGAAAGGAGCGTTAGCTACATCCCCTCAAAGATCAAGCAGGGATTCTGAGCCCAGAGAAGGACAGGATTTCTCTCAAGGTCACACAGCCAGACAGGAATGAAGTGCACAAGTTCAGCCTGGAGGCTCCCCTCCTGTCCCAGTGTTGGGATGGAGGAAACCGTCCTCTTGGGTCTGGAGCCTGGCCTCACCGTGGTAAATCTCCTGCAGGGACCCCCCTCCACAGAACTCCATGCAGATCCACAATCGATCATTCCTGGAGAGGGGGACAAAGAGTTGGGGTGGGCATACAGGAGCCACATGAGGACTGCCTGGGGCAGACGGGTAGGGCGACCTCACCTGAGGTAGCTGCCAATGTAGGCCACAACATTGGGGTGGCGGCACTCCCGGAGGATGGTGATTTCCTGCTGGAGAGAGCTGATGTCGTCCCCTGGGGAGCACAAGGCATTATGGGGGGAACACGGGGGTCGCCCCAACTCTGCCCCTATTTGCAAACGGGGCACAGAGTGCCTCAACCGCGGCCCGGCAGGTGCTAGGCCCGGGCACCCCCCGGCTCTGCGTCCCCGGGGTCTCTGAATGTCAACTCTCCGCCCCCGCCCGCGCCCGCGCCCGCGCCCGGCCTCCCTCGGGCGCAGAGGCCCCATCCGGCCTCACCTGGGTCGAGCTTGACGATCTTCACCGCGGCCAGTTCGGACGTGAGCGTGTCGCGGGCCTGCGGGCCAAGGGGTGCAGGGGGTGAGGGGGCGGGGCAGGGGTAGGCTCCCGGCGGGACGCGAGCGCACCCTCCGCCCCACGCTCCCGCCCGTGCTGCCGCCGCGCACCTTGTAGACGTCGCCATAGGTCCCGGCCCCCACGCGCTGCAGCAGCTCAAAGCGGTCCCGCGGGTCCTGCAGCGACACGTCCCGCAGCAGCGCCATGGCCCGGCGCCGGACCGGCCGGCGGGCGCGAGCTGCGGAGCCGGCGCGGGTTGGCGCGAGGCGGGG